CCGGAATGGCTGGACGAATGACGATGATCTTCTCTGGCGTGTTTGTTGCGAGCTTTTACTCCAGTTGGGTTCGCTCGCACAGTGCCGGCTACGGTAAAGTCCGGTGGCAGAGTCCCCAGAACGGATTCACACATGTTGAGGTCCACGCGATGCACGAGACCTGCGGTGCAGGACCATCCGATGTCTGGGACTTGGCTCGGAAAAGTACTGGGGTTTGCCATTGGCCCAAATAGAACAGCATGCAGCATCATGAAGTCAGCGGTAAATGGCAAAAAGCTCTCGGATAATTGCCATCGTGGGGCATTCAAACTGCATTTCAGCACGTACTGGCTGCTGAGTGTCGGATACTCCAGTGTCACCTGATATTTCGATGCCGTGGTTTAACAGCTGCCCATGCGATTCGTTCACTTTCTGCACAGATCTCAGCTCTATGGCCGCCCAGTTCCTCGCAGGCGCTGATGGCTTTGGTAGCCCCAGGGTGTTGTCTTGTAGAGGTACCCTTACTGTGAATTTGCAGTTGTAACTTCCGGAGACAGTACAGTCTGTGACTAGACCTGAAGCCTGTGGCTACAGGCATACAACACACCAGCGTTTCAGTCGATGCAGTCACGAGTTTGGCATTGAGTGCGGAATTCAAATCCTTCAAACGTGAAATTCGTGGCCCCAAATGCCAGGATTCATGGCATGCCACCCCGTGAGGGAGACCCCCACCCCCCATCCACCGGCGACAAGACATGCGGCACCCGCAGTGTTGATGTAGGTGCTACATCAGCACAGCACGGTTGGCTTACACAATCAACATTCAAAACAGTAGGCAGCAGGAACCATCGCACTAATATGGTTACGCTCATGCCCTGTAGTAATCCTTGGGAAAGGAAAGTCTATTTTTCTCCATGGGTGCAGAAACGCGCACAGAGTCTCAACACCGTTGGTCTAGGGATTGCCTTCCAATTCCTTTCACGGAAATGAAGACTATGATAGTCCCCAAATTTATGCCGTTGTTGATGAGAAATTTCTCCGAGATTAGGCCGGTGCATCTCGCATCGCGGCGTCGTCAGTGGATGAGACGATATGGAGGTGCAGATCTCATTGCTGGGAGTCGAGGGCGTCTTTTGGCGTTGCGGATACAGTCAGATATGAGGCGATTGATTTGAGGCAACCGTGAAACAGGCAGTACAAGAATCAGTCCTGAAATTAGTGTTCCTTGAATATAAAAGATCAGTGATATTCGCTGTCAACAGGGGCACCATTATCAATGGTTTATTTGTATCGGTTTCGCATCTTATGCCGTCTTCGTACGTCCCATAGTAGGAATACGCAAGAAAGAATCCCGAATCAAAGGAGTACCAATGCGGCAGTTTGCGCACAAACAATTTGAAGGTCGCCGTTGGAAATGCCAACTTACACCCTGATGCATATATGCTCTCTGTGTAGAACAGACTTGAAAGATTTCGTTCTGTCAAGCAAGCCGTTACTTGGGGATGCGCTGTGAGGCTTGTCCACCCCCTGTTCTGCGCTGATCCGAACACCCCCAGGTCAGGCCCAGGCAACGCGCAATCCCCAGGTTGCCTGACAAGTCGCTCATCCCCTCTCGAGCCGGATGAAACACCCGGCTGGGTTTTGCTCACCTGCGACATGGCCCCAAAGACCTTCGCAGACACGGCAACGGATGGATCGACATGGGCAGCCGCTCTTCCTCGGGCAATGGGTGGCTGCTCCCGCCCACACCACGCGCCGTGCAGCGCGACCTCCCTGCGTGGAAGTGCGACGCGCTTCAAACACCTGGCATCGTGTCACCGAGCGGCGCGATGCCGCTGCGGATGCTGCCCGTTGTGCAAATAGCCGCTTCCGCGGCACGTTCTGGCGGGCGAACCAAATCCCCGTTGCAACCCAATTGGGTTAACTTAACACCGCCCCAGTCGCTCTCGAAATGCTTGCTCTGGCGTTCTCGGAGAGAGACTCGGCGCCTTCGGGAACAGCACGGATTGGGGTGCGCGCCAATCGCCTCAGAGACAGTTCGTCATGAGAAAATGGGTGGGTGATCACCGGCCTTCGCCCTTGAAGGCCAATCTCCGCGATGGCCATTGGCGATGGCGGCCACGCTGCCGGGGATTCAAGCAGCGGGAGTGGCCGCCCAGTCGGGGCGAAGCCGCAGCAAAGGCCCGCGGTCGCCTGGGCCGCTCACCCGTGAATGACGACCGCGCGGTTGATGACGTCCAGCAAAGGCGCCGCAACAGCTGTCGCAATCAAACCCGCCGCCAACAGGGTGGCGAGGGAGAGACGCCGAGCCATGGAGCCGAAGCACTGGTGGACCCCGCCGCTGTGGAGAGGTGTCTGTGTGCCGATCGCTTGGCGATCGCTTGGGCGCCCTGGCGCAGATCGACTCCTGAATTGTGCAAGTCGGTCAGAATTGAGGTGCCAGAATTTGCCGCCGCCATCCGCATCTCCCAGCTTTTTTTTCCTGCTCTTCTGTGGTTGAAATAACAAAGCGGGGTTGATTTTGACCAAAGCGAGTGTCAGACTGGTTACAGGGCCACTTGACGCCACTTGCCAACCCAGGGCATGTGGGGCCCACAGACCACAGGCTGTTGCTCTGCGACCAGCACCCAACCTCCGCTTGGTGCTTTGTGCAATCACACCTCAGTCACTGTCTCCTGCTGTTTCTGCATTCGCGCACGAAGTTCGCGCAGCTCTTCCACCCGAAAGGTTTTTAAAAATCACGTTGCATTCACCCCTTCCTTGTAGAATGTACTTGAGCGTGGATGCCCACATTCGACCAAGCTTGGCACCATGTAGTTGCAACTCACCGTGCACCCACCACTGTAGCCCGTTGCCTGACAGGCAGTACTACAGAACATTGTTCCAACATTGTGGCGGCACACGTTCATATCCGCCCCATTAGTGGAGTCGCTCCCCTTGCGCCGGGAGCAGGTAACCAAAGATGATGCAAATATAACCATACGATTATAATACGATTATGATAATACAATTCTCAAAAATACGCTCGATGCCGCGCAAGGGTCGCCAGTTTCCTTTTCGCCGTCAGCCTTTCTACAGAGCACGGCATCCACTTATACGTTTGTAACCACTTCTGTACATACTACGAAGTATGTTGTAAGTACCACCGAAGTACAATCCAATGTGCAACATATGTGGGTTGGGGGGCAGCTTCGCTCCGTGGAAAGGAAGGCAGCGGTCAACAATATGTGCCACGAAATCTCCAAGAAAACATAGGCACACACATGACAAATGTTACGTGTACATCATCACATGTCATATGCGTCTGCGCATTGCCTGCGCACGTGTCTGCATCAGGCTCGCGCATAGAAGATGACTTGCGGCTCACGAGAACTTGGCCTCGCACGCACAGGCAGAGCATTGTACACCCAACATTCACACCAAGTTTGGAGTGAGAGGAAGGCTTCGAAGGCCGCAATGCTGCATTGTCGCACGTGGGAATCGACGAGCAGCTTGTCTGCCAACAGGACGCTTGCGACAGCCAGGGAACAATGAATGTCTCCACAATCTGACTGATTATCGCAAACCAGTCCTTGTGGGATGGAAACCAAGCGCCGTTGTGGGAAGCCGTGGCTGTGGCTGGTGTTTTCCTTTGGCCAGTGGGCAACTGGTGGATTTGGGGGACATGTAATAGGACTCATAGCACTGGTGTCTTCTACTCAGCAGTTGGGATCATTCAAGTGGGCACAATGGATGGCTGACTGGCGAAGGCTGCGCTGATGGCACAGTTGCTAGTAAGAGCATCTATCGGTCGGTGCTATTGCCCCGGCGGAGCTATCCAGGAACGGTTCTCATTGGCCACCGTGCCACCTTACTAAAGTGGCATTTGCTGAATAGCACCGGTGCTATTGCTCCGCTGCGCACATCCACAGTGGTGGGTGCTATTCCTATGCCGAATATCATCACAGCAGCACTGCAATGTTCTGCACCAACAGCGCCGGGTGCTATTTCGGGGTGCTATTTTGCCTCGAGCGGTGCCATTCGGGCCCAGAACAGCACCGCTCGGCACCGAATAGCATCGGCGGTGCCATTGGGGTGCTACTGCTCCCCCAACCGTTAATGATGGTTTTCTGACGGGCGGTGCTATTCGAATAGCCGAATAGCACCGCCAGGACAATAGCACCCACCGATAAGAGCATCTTTGTCGATAAAGATGCTCTGACATAGCTTCGGCAGCAACATATGGGAACATGCGCATGCATGTGCACCTGGACAGGCTGACAGACCTGGGTTGAAGGCTCTCGGAAAGCTAGTCATGGTAACAGACGTTTGCTGAAACCATGTCCGCCGGTTGTGTTCCCAGTCGGGCGCCACGGGGACCAGCTGAGTTGCCCGTGACGTGCCAGGGCCCTGCTTAATGTGCCCTTCTGCTCTGCTCAGTGGTGTCGTGGACATGCATTGTGGGACCTAGGGTGCCACGACGTATCATATGCAGGTTGTGGCAGTACACAGGCCATTCGAAAGCACCGTCCAACGTCCAGACAATCTACACATCCCTCTCTCGGGGAGAACAACAGCGTCCCTTTCAACAGAATCTTCCCCTGCACAGCCACAGGGCTCCTGTTACTCTCTCATCCTCCCGATCCCACGCGCGCCTCTCAAATTCTCTTGCCAGGCAGCTGCGGAACGCCTGCCTCTTGTCATGACAACAACCGTTTCCACCCATTCGCTGCAATGATGTATTCCGTCAACGACTATGCTAACTTGAAGCATTAATGGCGGATCACCCCATAAAGGACGTGTGATTCATTATTATGGAGCGACCTCAGGCCATACAGCAGGCTGCCATCCATCACATCCTCAAAATTGGTGGCCCATTTCACGATCAGTGCAACAGAGAGCTAATCAGTAATAAATCAATGGACATGACCGCCCACTTTCCCAGAAACAATTCCTCTGCGCTGAAGCTGGACTCCTGATGCGCAGCAGTTGGAGGAGCTGTGACGGTCTGCCTGAGGAACACAGAACCCCGGTCGTGCACGTCAAAGCTTATCTGCCAGTGGGTCAATGCTGCTGTGCCGGCTGTGCCTGCCACCTTTTCTAAACAGCGATCGACTGACGACCTCCATCACGCCTTTATCATTCTGGGGCGCCGACTCTGCCAGCATGTCCTCGGGAATTTCATCCACAACCCCAGATGCCGAGGAATCGGATTCACCCCTGCTTCGATGGTGGCCTCCTTCCTCCAAATGCCGAGCAGCTTGGGCACTGTTGGATCGACCGAAAGTCCGCAGAAGCTTGCCGGGTGAGAACAGAGAGGAGGGCGCAGTGTCTGTGCTGGACCGGCTGGCACTTGGGGCTGAGTCTGTTGACTTCGTGTCAGAGGCAGCTGAAACTTGGGGACCCTGGACATCGACAAGTTCACTGTATCGTTTCCTCCCAAGGCCACCCATCATCCCCTCGATGCCGCGCATCGGATTCGGGCTACCGGGCGCGGAGCCCGAACCATGATGAGGCTCAGACCACGATGGCGCTTTGGAAGCTTGCCGTTGGGGTCCTGCCTCTGGCGGGCTGGGCCCTTCTTTCAGCTCGTCATACTGTGTGCGCGAGAGGCTGTGCGGCAGCAAATGGGCAAGCTGCTTCAACTTCGTTTCCCCTTTCGCTGCCAGACCTCGGTGAGGGAGTCCTGGGTCACCAGGCACTGTTGGTGAGGCAGCCGCCTCACCAAACTGACTGAAGTCCCCACTGCCAGCTGTAAGAGCAGCCTGGCTGGAAGGGGCCGTCACACCACTCACAGAGCTGGCCCCATCTTCATTGCCCTGCTCGTTGTGTGAGCTTAGATCCTCGGCAACATCTGATGCTGGCTGTGGTGCCGTTGATGAGCTGGCACCCTTCACTGTTGGGCTTCCATCAGGGTGCTGCCCACAGCCACCTGCAGGCTCAGCTTCCATCAGAAAAGAAGAAGGCATCGACTGCATGGACTGGCTTGTCATCGCCGGTAGCCTCGACTGCACCTGTTCCTCCACGATTGAGGATGCTGTCGTGTATATGCTATCCTGATAGTCAATGGAGCTCACGTCTGCAGGTCCTTCTCGTGCAGTGTGTGGGCAAGGGCTTAGCATGCCTGTTTGCATGAATCCACACGGCCCCGTCTGCGAAGATGTTCGGGAGCTCGGGGCCCTGGAGCTGGAAGGAGGCCTTTGTGGTGGGTTATTCTGTTTCTCAACGGAAGCCAATGTGGCATCTGTCAGAAAAGAAACTGGAAGCTCCAGTGAGCCAGGCTGCGGTGCTGCACCAGTCTGCGGCTGCGCACCGTCACCATCCCATCCATAGGGAGGGCTCACTTGAAAAAGGGCCTGTTGCACAGAGTACCACATGAGCCACTTGTATGTGGAAACAACTTCTTGATTACAGAAGCTGAAGCAATAATGCAAAAGCTCTGAGATGCACACAACAAAACATGTGGACAGCAGTAGCCGGATTTGGGGGATGGGTTCTGGGGCTGCAGAGCTGTTTACTTGCAGGGGATGAAGACACGAAACTTGCAACTGTTGACCGTCTGCGCAATCTGATAACCAGCTATGACAACAACAATAAAGCACACAACTGTGCCCACTATACTGTTCGATGGTGTGGTGCTTTTGTGCGCTGCTTAGAACTCCAGTGCGCAAAACGAGTCCTGACATGCAGAGTTTTGAGAACTATGGTCAAAACAGTCACCCAGAAGTGAGAATGTATCCGGCATGTGCCTGACAATCACAATGTGTTTGCACAATGGTTGCATTGACAATGCTCTTTGTTTCCATGTCAGAAAATTGAGAGGAATATCGAACACACAGATGTCCAGCTCAACCAGCCAACATGTCACACAGCAGCACTTTCTAATGAACAAAACCCCATAGAGGAAGTGCCTGTAAGCCGCAAGCAAACAAGCCCACAAGATGGCTGCAAAGCACAACTTGTGTTCGCATGGCCTGTGCTACTCTGGGGACTGTGCTTGAACATCTGCAGCTCACCTCAAAAATATTTCTTGCCAGACTTTTGTAGTAGGGATTGCCGCTCCGGCCAAACTTCCTGCGGAAGTGCTCATAAGTGGTCTGGTTTGTGACCACCAGGTACATGTGGAAAACGCTCAAGCCCCCAACGAACCACGCAGCAATGAATGTGTACACTATCAGTGCGATCGCAGTGGGCTCTTTCGACATTGCCTTGTTAAACGAGTGATGGTGCTTCTCCGACAACTGTCCACAGAAGAAAACTGTCAATTCACTGTCCAGAGTTAAGCACATTAAAACAGCGATCCACACCTGGAAGGCAACACAGTGACACGATGCAGCTTCAGACAAACAGTGGCAAATGTGACATAGTTTTGAAAACAGAAATTTTTCACCACATTTTAATCTATGTTCAAGAGCACAGAGCAAACAACTGCAGGCAGCAAACCACCAATCTACCATGTTCAGTCAAAAACACACAAGAATGTTGCAGACCACCCAATGCACAAGCATGTGCACAGCTAGGTGCAACAAGTGTTGCTGCACAACAATACCTGGACCAGTCGTGAAAGGGATGTTGAGAAAACGTAAATGCAGAGGAGTGTTGCAGACAGCACGAAAGAAAGGAAATATCGGTAGTTCCTCTGCACACAATGCACACAGAATGTCAGTGCACAACTCCACTATTGCAAATCGCCATTATCTGATGCTCCCACTGACACTGCTGCACTCTGGGGCTCCGCGCAATTCTGGAGTGAATACCATCCCAACATCACACTGGAAGTGCAAGCACAGCGCTCGCCACAACTTCACAAATGTACGGAAAGGATTAGCAACACTGGAAAGCCACAAACAGCAACTGCGATATCTGTCAAGCACACCCCAAAATGCCACACACATGTCCCTCTGACAACAGCGTGCACATCCCGGACATATGTTTCCTTGGGCAGCTTCTGCACAGCAACACACTCACCCTTCCAATGCACGTCCCCACCCATGGGCAGTAGTGGTCGAATTTCTCCACACAATTGTTGCACATTGCACAGTGCGAGCACCTCGGAAGTCGATATATGTTGCAAGTTGCACAGTACTTGGTCGTCACTCTGTAGCCATTGATAAGGAAGTCCTTTGTTCTTGGGAACGGCAGGAACCTTGGGTCCCCATTTGCATCAACAGGCGCTGATTGTCTGGGGATGATGCCGGGGTTGGAGAATGCAGTGAACCCCAGCATCGCCAACACAAATGCCACAAGCAAAAGGGACAGCCCCAGGATACCCTTCCCTACGTCGTGGGCAATCAGCGACAGAAACAAAACTGCGCACAAATGCATAACACAACTCATCAGGACCTTCTGCCAACATATCAAACAGAAAGACACGAGTTCAACTTCAACACCCGATGCTGACCACACAGCAATCATGCCAGCGAGCATATGCAAACGCACACAGATGGCTTCAGAGCTGAAAAAAGCAAAGGGAGAAGATATGAGCCAAGCATCAAGAAAACACCAATGACCTATAGATGTCTTCAGTACAGCCAGAGCGAGAGTGACAGCAACCAATAATACTCACTTGATGGTATCAGAATCAGAAAAAAAGTGCCCATCAATGACTTCCAGTCAGGACCTGCATGTTGCACAGAGCTGATCAGAAAACATTACAACACGAGTGGGTTTTGCAACATGCAGTTGCTCAAACCACTGCAAGTGCAGCACAACAAACTCACGGATGTCGATCAGGAAGCGCACAACACGAAATGCACACCTATGAAATCCAGGAATACCATCTTGAAAAGTGCTGCGGCTGGGACAGCTGGTACGCATTGCCCAAAGAACATCCCCAGGCGCTCTGAGACTGATGCAAGCACAGTGAACATTGACCACCAAAAACAAGGGACACGCGCCAGGGTTACACAGCCTGGCCGAACAGAACGTGGCTGGAAAGCCGCCCAGGGAGCGGCCCCCAACAGCAGAATCCGCTGATGGGCTGCAGAGCAATAGAGCGGCGATTGTGTCGGTACACGCCGGCAACACGAAAGCGGGGGACGGCCCTGCGTCGGGGACCTCAGCGAGCAGAAGATCAGAACGAAACCATGTCGCCTTCTGCTTGGCCCAGTGAGTGAGCGCTGCCCAAGCCGCAAGGTTCGCGGGGACAGGGAGCCATGAACGTGTGTTGGGGAGTGGGCGGCTTGTGGAGAGGGCTCCGATACACCTTCGGCAAAAGAGCGGCAGACCGCACGCAAAGCCCGGAAGCTGGGCCCCCCAAATCGAGTGACCCCAGCCCCGGACCGAATCCCGCCCCACGCGTGCGCCCACCTATGAATATCTTGCCGTTCCACAGGACCCACAGGTTCCCCACTTTCTTCGCCATCTCGGCATGACCGCGCTGGCCACCGCCCTCTGCGCGCGGCCCCCGCCGGGCCTCCCTCTTGGCCCTTTCCCGCGCCTCGCCACGCCGTGCAGCGTCGCCCCCTCAGCCGCCGCTCCCCATCCAAAGGCTCAGCCGCGTCAGCCAGCCGGCACTGCGCCCAGCAGTTAGGGGACGGCCCCCGGAAGGATGCAGCCCAGGGTTGTTCCAGCCAGCGCCGGGGGCAAAGGTCCGCCTGCAGATTCTCAAGCGCCGGAGGAGGCCGGCCGGTGGGACGGGCACCGTGGTCGCGGAGCGGGGGGGGACGCTTGCGCGAGGTGCGGCGCGCGGGGGGGAGCTACCGACACCGGTGGTGGGGCGCGCGTGTGTGCCCCGTGGGGGAGCGGACCACAACAACAGGTCAGATTAGCCGCGCGAGGGGCCATGCTCTGGCGGACATTGGAACGGGATGTCAACGAGGGCGGATGGGCCCCTCCGGCTTCCCTTCAGGGCCCATATCGGGGGCGGGCGGGACAGGGTGGGGCGGGCTGTTGCGTGATTTGACAGCGGGACAGCCGGCTCAAACCGCGACCTTGCGGCGTTGCTGCACGGGAAAACGGAAGCAAGGAGACGCCACCCGCGGCGAACGCCCGCTTTGTCAGTGGCCTTGACTTGCGTGTGTGTGACTGGAGCTGCATGTTCCTTCGCCCTGACGCGGCGAGTTTGCGCACAAGGGAAATTTGGCCCAAGGCGGCACAATTCGAGTGGATGCGGGGCGAAGTCAAGCAGCTCGATGCGGGAAAAGCCTGGGCGAGTGGTGATGAAGAAGACACAGAAGCAGCTGGTCACCGAACGGATGCGGAGCTCACGATGAGCGCAATGGAACCTGGCTGGCAGACCGAACGGTTTAGGGAGACTCTGCAGTTGGTCAGCACGTTAGGACCCCGTGTTGTGAGCATAAACATGCAACAACACCGTTCGGTGTACACCACAACATGGATCGACAACCTTATGCCATGGATATGGTGTTGCGTTGATAGATCCTTGAAGCGTATTCCACAGGCATTCTCCATCCAATGGCTGCCATGGCCCTGGATGAACAGACGCATCGGCAGAGCTCCACCAGCTGGAGGCACGGCACTGCTCCACCGGGGAATGAGACATGGAAAAATGGCTGTGGGGACAACTAGCACTAACGTCCAGTGAGGGCTGCTCATTCACTGGCTCGTTGGCAAGTCAACATTTGAAAGCGTTCTCATTTTCCTGCAAGAGCACCCAAAATTTCACAAGAACCTGGGAAGCATGCGAGAAAAAGTATGCTAACTGTGTCACTAGTTCCAAAAGACTGGCAGTCCTTGGCAAGTAGGACAGGTCAAAAGATGCTCAGGGAGTCTGTATTCTGGAGTGAATGAACTCCGAGTCCATGCTGCGGAACATTTGCGGCGACAGCAGCCACACGTATCCATGTTCAACAGATTTTCGTTTACACGTCCCATTTTCATGCATGTGCTGGGCAAAGGCATGAAGCTGATCAAAGAAAGCAATAAAATCGCAACAACCTACACTGCAATTCACGAACCATGCAGGCCCTGAGGTCATTCACTGTGCATAGCCACTACGGTGCTTGTCCACTGCCTACAACGTGTTCACACACTGCCAACAACTGCTGACACAAGGTGTTGCTCTTCCTCTCAGCCTGATGCGTACTTGAGAGCCTGGAAGCAATGAACTCCAGGTGTGCCATCCCTTCAACAATTTGATGTTTGCATCGGAGTAGCGGTTGTGCAAGTTCTCTGCACTTGAATATATCTAATAGCACCTGAGTATGTGACGTGATGAGTGCAAAACTTGATGGACAAAAACCAGACACCACACACGGCCTCAAAGAACACAATTCTTCGAATAGAATCTTCAGGACGCCTGGCATCAGCCCAGGACGACATTGAAGGAGCAAGAAGAACATGGGCTGTGAAGCACAGTCATCCAAGCCCTTCGTTTGAGGATTGCCATCTTTGTGGAGTGCCATGTGGTATTTTACCATTATTGTGGGCAAAGATGACCACACCGCATCAGAGATGTCCGGCATTCCAGCCTGTGCAGCTTGGAGAAGAAATTTTTGAATGCCAAATAAGTTTCTCCTGTCCTCACAGTCAACCGCTTCACTTGCAAGTCTGACCCAAGGGTCCACAACCCTCGGCATGAGGCTGTTTTTCGTGCCACACAGATCCCTCAGACTCCACATGAGATCAAATCCTCCATCCACCTGCAGCTGGTGGCGCTGCCAATCCCCCTTTGTGGAGTCAGCATCACTCACATCCAGTGGGTCCATCTGACCACTGATGAGGCCTGATATCAACACTCTCACATCGTCATGTTTTGCACGCCCATCTTCTGCCATTTTGGACACAATGGTGATGAAGGATTGGGCTGTTTCCGCTGGATATGCCGCCATAAGGCTAACAATCAGGCAGCTCCGAACCAGCGGTCCACACAATGATGGAAGGAAGTACAGCACTGAGGTAGCCAGCAGCTGGACCCTCTTTGGTAGGCGAGCCAGTGGCCCAGGAACAACTATTTTGGATGATGTCCTGGATTTTCTCAGTGAAGAAGCACTTGGCCGTTTGCCAGGTGCACGTGTCCAAAACAGCGGAACCAACTCCACCTGCAACTTGTCAAGATCGGTAGAGATTGCTGGAGTGCAATATCTGGCCAGGGAATGAAGCAACTGAGCTGCAGCCTACAAAGGCAGCACAGCGCCTTGTTAATCTCTGTGCAAACCATGTATGCAGATCGGCATTTTAAGAGGCTGGAGCACTGTCTCAGCAAAGTGGCTGCATATTCTGAGCCAGCATTGTACAAGAGAAAGAACAGCCACAGGGCATTCTGGAGTTGCCTACCTCAAATATGTGGGTATGCTTGTGGCCTGCCTCCCACAGCAAGCGCGGCAGCCCATGAGCCCATTCACGAACAATTTCTTCACTTGCCACTACGTGCACAACAACATGGCGGGGTTACTGCAATACTGCAGTCGCATTCACAACGGGTGACACTGGAACTAGATGCATCAGGATCAACACATGAACAAGGCAGCACAAAATGACATAAAGAAAGTGACACAAAAGCACAAGCCCACATAGAAACATGCAAATGCCTTGGAAATGTGCCTGTGCTTGACGACACATGCTTTCATGTCGTCACCAGGCAGCACTGTTTCCTTGGGTGCGTCAGCACACAGCATACACAGCAATAATCAACATAATGACGCCACTGGCAGTGCTGGATGTGTGCCGGCACAACACAAAAGGTCAGGTTCATCCCAGCAGCTGACCTAAGATGACTGTGCCACCATTCTTCAAACAATTATCGTGCAGCCAATCAATAGTTGCTATTCCACAGATATCTGAACACAGACAATGGAATTTATCCACTCACCACATCGCGAGTGACCAGGGTGTGTATTCCCTTTCAGCAACAGCAGCATGAACTTCAAACAGGATAGTTTGGCAGGCGATGTGACTGCCAAGGCCTGAAACCACTTAGTGAATGCAGTTAGCACATCGTGTTGGTCGGTGACCCTGAGCATGGGCAGTGTAATACCCATGCTGGGTAAAACATTCTGAATCATGGCCTCTGTGTCAATGTTGGAGTGCAACGGGTTTGTCACAATATCTTCAAGGGCACCTGCCACAGAAACAGTGTTCGTTGAATCTGCTCTCCTGTCATGAGTTCCAATTCTGACAATGTGCAATCAATCCATACAACAACACATGGATGTCTGTAGGAATCGTCAACAAGCCGCTGAACTGTGCCAACTTGCCTGTATATGACCCTGTGATACTCTTCCATCAAGACTGTCAATGTCAGTGCAGTGCTAAATGTTTCTGTTGTCAAAGGCTTTGCTCCTTGTGCAAGGAGGCACGCAAGATACACAGAGCCTACATTTCTGGGCCATTCAGGTACGAACAGAATCGAAGGTTTTGCCACGAGGCAGGTGTGATTCCATCCTTAACAGAAAGACACACAGTACAGCATGTGCTTTCCCACCACAACAGGAACAAGCTTTTGACATAATGTCTACGCTGCTGGGAGCAGAGTGGCTTTAGTGAACGCTACGTAATTCAGGAATTCAACATCATCATCACACAGCAAGGTAATGTCACACAACCCATGGTGTTCAGGTGGCCAAGCAAAATGTCCAGACTATTTTATGGCGTCGGACAAACTGGTCAGCATTGCATAAAACAGCCACCACTCGGGACCCACATACAACAAATAGAAGTCAAAGCACAGCACAAAGCAAGTGAGTGTTGCCTGAGTCTGTTATACAGAAATGGGCAAATAAGGGCCAGCGGGCGAATTTTCGCCAGGCTGACAGGATGCAGACAAGAACAGGGCTGACGCATTCGTACATCCACTGTGTCAAACTCTTGGCTGTTGCATTCAAACGGATAGATGGTGGGCTGTGTCCCCAGGTGTTTCTGTGACGTGTCACTTGGTAAGCTGTCTTGCATCAGTCACAAGAGGAAATGTATCAGCCGTTCACTTCCTCAGACCAACAGCACTGACCCACATAGAAGTCCCTCAGTTGCTTGGAGCTGTCTGCAGCAGTGCCTTCCTGCACCTGATCTTTAGCAAACCTGCCAGCTAATGTGGCCATCACTAGATTGAACTTCGTTACAGCCTCCCTGGCTTCAGGCAAACCAGTGACTGAGCAGCAGATGGGAAAGACGCTACTAAACCGACGTACAACCTGCAAGAAACGAAGCCAACAAGATATAAAGCAACAGCAACTGCAAATGGGGGGTATATAGCAAGACCCGCAGGCTGACAACATACAAAACTCCCATCCCGACTCATGTTCAGACTTGCAATGCAGAATGCAGGGATGTGTTATTGATGAATTGCTCTTTGGCACTGTGGCATCGAGGAAATCGAACACAAATTCGAACACAGAGTGTCCCAGCAATCAGCAGAATGATGTTGTCCTTCATCTGCAAGCCAGCATGGACATTGAATTGTTAATGGGCCTTTCCTCGTTGTGAAGTCAGCAAGCTCTCTGGAGCTTCATGCACCTGACAGGTGTGCACCACTGGTGGAAGAGCTGGCGCAGTTATAGAGTGAGTTGCCTCTGCGAGGTCACCACCCCCTTTGTACTCATCCCAGTTTCCTGAAGTCCAAACTCAGCAGGCACTCACCTCACCACACTTGTGTTCAAGCTGATTTCCACCCACATTGCCAACGCTGCTAATCTGAGTGCCTCCAAGGAATGACGAACTCCCTGCCACAACACAGACAACATGCAAAACTGCTCAAAAAGGCCACCAGCACTACCGCAACACAAGCTGCAAAACTGCCTCCCTTACCTTCAATAGCTTTTGCGAATTTTAGCCACACCACCAGAAACGCAACTGATTGCAAAGCCTCTACTAGCGAGCAAGTGCTAGCAAGGTCTGCAGTGCCGCTTGCCATATCTGCTAGAATTGAGCTGTGGGAGCACACAACATCCAGCAGCCGTTCCAAAAGCCCCCGCGCAGCGACTGCAGGAGAACGCTGATGTTTTGTAGGATCCCAGCAAATGGATGCTGCTGTGGCTTTTGGAGCATTCTCCTGCACAGTGAGACATGGACATGTCACTATCCAAGGAATGTTCAGTTGTATCAACATACAGCCACAGAGCATCTTGCAGCCTGAATGTACAAAGGAATTCTTTCTTGCACAAATCATGGAACAACACAAATCCAAAACACACATTCCACGTTGACACATCAGTCGATGTGCCACATGGAGCAAGTTTGTGCTTGAACATGCACATTGCACCACGAATCCTGTCAACCCCAAGCCAAAATCCTCAGTAGTGACATAATTCTGCAGGCTGGAACTATCAGGGCAACTCAACTACCAAAACAGGGACAGAGACGAAAGGTGTGGAAATGCAGTCATTGAACTCAACAACTGCAGACAACACTGCTGTTCAAGACTGCTAATCTCGCACCTGCTGTTCAAGACCCCAACTGGATCGATTCATGACGGGCTTTGGCCCCTGCTGACATCGGAAACTGAACAATGTGCGCAGAGTTGATGACTCTCTCGAATGTCCGGAGTTGACACATAATGCACCTGGGCTCTTGTCCAGACCCAGCACGGTGCCCAAGAATTTGTTCAAGCCACTGAGAACCTGGACAACACGAACTGCAACCAGTTCCCATTTGCAGCATCTGTTTATTGCAGGTGTGGGGTGAATGACAATGTTACAAGCGACACTGATAGGAAGGTTCAACTGAACATAGGCAAGGCCAGGAGTGTCTGTATCAGGCTAAGGCATTAGCCGGCAGAAAGCAGTGGAAGGAATGGAACAATGCTGGCACTGCACCAGCAGGACACCACTGAACAATGGACAGAGCAGCCTTCAAGAACTGGTTGCCATCCTGCTGTTCGTACGAACAGCAGGTGTGATCGCTATTGCAGCATCCAGTGGCAGTTGTCAAACAAATTTCCAGCGCCAGTCTGCAAAATCGTGCCTGCAGATATGGCAATAAATCAACAAACACTTGCACTGCTATTGATTGGTCACATAACTTGCAGCACAAATATCGTGACCTGAAATGGAAGAACAATGACAATGGGGTGACATACATGGGTGCCGTTTCCAGTGATGGTGCTTGTGGATCCCAGATACATGGTGCTTGCATGTGCGTAACACTTGAATAGGAACTCTGCCAAGCACGAATCATGCTCCAAATCTGTGTTGAGCGTCCTGGTACACTCAAAAGATGAACGGACGTCTTGCTCAGATTCGAATTTGCAGAGGCTGTAGAGCCCAGAGTCTTGGTGTGTCCCGAACGTCGGAATGAAACAACTACCTTTAACTTATTGGCCTGTGACGCCATTTGCAAGCTGTGGCTTCTACTGAGCGTTGTCAGCAAATCTGTGAAGTACTCAAGGCAAGGAGTCAGGAATTCAGTCATCGCTGAAGCTCCCTGGTGCTTCACCTGCAAAACAAATCCCTTTAGGTGACCATTCTTGTGAATTCCAGGGCAGAAAATGCCAGCGCTGCAGGCAGCACATGTTGTTGCTGCAGCTTTCCATGCAGGGCTGACTCAGGTGGACATAACCTTGCCTAAAACCGCTGTCTCAGTCGGGCCAATGTATGTGCACATGGCTTGTGCAGATTAACCACAATGGAGGTGGTGGAACCCCGAGATAGTCAACACAATTCAATGAGTAGACACTGGACACAGCAGATCCGTTCAACAAGGGATGAAGGAAAACAAATGCTGGTCTTCTGGCACAATGTCAGGAACACGAGGTGTGTGCCCAATTTTCTGTTCACTGTGTCTTGAACTGATTTGCACTTGGCTTGTAGCTTTCACTATACGAACATATGAATCAGGAACATCACTTCATTCGTATATCTGCAGTGGAGGCTTTGCCACAATTCAAGTCCAGATCAATGGCTGCAGACCGCCAACAGTCTGCTGCAAGGAAACAGGAACAGCCACTGCACCCACTGTCAGGTGCGCACATGGAACAGTCCAGCTCACTTGCCTCACTCTAACAGCATTTCTGAGACCATGAGGGCAGTGACAGACAGTGCAAACAGTTGAGAGCATTGTAAAATTTCCTTTCCACTTGCTTATTTTGAAAGCCGTGTTTTTGCTGGGAAGAGGTTTTCCCATATTGTGCAGTGAACTCTTGAGTGCTACATTGTGGAGATGTCGGCTTGCACAAGCACAAGCAAGCTTGGCAGCTTCTTACTGGCTCCCATTTGGGCATCACTATTTGTGAACGTGACATACCAGGATGTTTGCATACTGTGTTATATTATACCCTTCCGCATTTTGAAATTTCAGCATTCCGAATTCTGATCCACAATTTTTTGACAGATCATTGTATTGGGGCCCTCCGCATCATGGTCACAGCGGAATGGCGACTTGGCTCAGTTCACATGGCCTCAAATGCCGAATTTTTGCCCCAGCAATCGGGGCTGCTAGACGCCACAAGCACTCCAGAAACCTTGAGTCGTAGCTTGGGCTGTTCAGCATTTTCTTAGCACCATTACACATTACTATTGCGCTGAAAGAAAAGGCCAAACGCTCCATTACAATGCAGAAGGGTATACTATAATACGGTAGGCCAGTGATACAGTACTCCAGGGCTAATTCCCCATCCACTAGACAACAACAACAACAACATTCATGCTATTTGTGCGCTCGTACTTGTGCACACACATGCTCACCACAAGATCCAAGAAACGCAGTGAATCGTTCCGAACTCCAGCTTCCAGATGTGTCATTGCACTGCAGCAATGTTGTGCAATTCAGGGTGAATGTTCCCAATCCAAATGAACAGCACACATGCAACAAGCCATGAAGTGTGATGGGGCACAGATTGATCAATATCAGCAACAGGAGACCAGTTCCAGCCAGCAGTGCCATTCCTTGCCAGCTGTGCCACGACAACCTGATGGCTGACCATGCAGGCACCAGTGGCATCTTATACATAAAGGACAAGTGCCTTTTCTCAACTGCACACAAATGTAAGTTCTCTACAACCATCTTGGTAAGATAGGCAAGCACAACAATGGCAGATTCTGGGCAGCATGCTCTGCCTTTCGCAACCAGGGAATGCTGGACAAAATATCACACTGCAAACAGATGTTCAGTGCAAGGGAGCATAGAAAAGTGGGTAACAGTTCCTACTGTTGGAAGACAACAGCAGTTCATTGCTCCTGGCCTTCCACAACATGAGTCAAAGGAATGTAATCCGTCCGCTGGACCTGGCAGCAGAAGGCAACACTGCAGCAAACATGTGTGGCGTTCAGGGGCTCTTGCAATTCTCACCTGCAGATGTGTGCCATAAGCAGCGGCAAGAAGGGGCGAAATGCATGGACCCCCAGCAGAGGGAGCACCCACTTGGACATCAGCCTCAACAAAGTTGTCCGCACCCTTCCGTCGTTGTCTGTACAACGCTCCCCAATGCCTTCAACCACTGCTGCTGCATGCTTGTTCAATTCCCCAGGGTTGGCCTCAAACAGTTGGCCCATTCCCTCCATCGCATCTCGCCGTACTTTGGCACTGTAGTGTGACAGCTGAGACAACAATTCCTGCAAGGAACCGACACAGCTACAATGGACGCTGTTCCATAGCACCCACGGGAAAATCGATCCCCCGGCGAGGAAGTGGAATGAACACGTTGCTCACTCCATTTTCCCAGCACCGGCACAAACGTATCCGACAAATCCGTAACGAACGAGTGCTGCTGTTTAATGTGGGACGCCGTTGTGCACATTGCGCCCGATAGGGTGCAGTTTCGTCGCGGCAGGACCACGCGTCCGGTCCTGTGACTGCCCCTGGTCGACTCGCTCATTCTGCCGTAATCACGTCCACGCCGTGCACCTTCAGAGTTAGATTCCTCTTGCTCACAGCGGCGCCGTCCTTGTCCTGCGCAATGCTCTGCTCTGGCAGGCCGATTGTCCGGGATTTGATGGTGGTGTCGGTTGCGTTGTTCGCCTTTTTCAGTTTCTTCCCGACCTTGTGTTTGGCGCGGTAGAAGTCGACTCCAACGCCGCGGTTCTTCCTCTTCCGCCCAATTCCCATTGCTGCTGCTGGCCCCAGCTCGCGGCGGCTGCACCATACACATCGCCGCTGAGGGCATTTGGCAGTGGTGGCCACCTGTACGACAATGTACTGGCGAAGCACAGGGCCTGACACAGAAACACCACCACCACCAGCGACACATACCCCAAGTACAACCAACACGACGTTGGCGAAAAGGGAAATGTACGGATAGCGGATAAATTGAAAAGCAACGAAATGCTTCGATGCTTTGCGATTATTGAGGCAGCTTGTGCGTAGACCGATAGCTGGGCGGGAGAATTGGCGAGAGACATGCACACAGGGGGGCCAGCCGCCCAGCCACAGGCCTCCAGGTCGTTCACGTCCAGCCACAGGAATGCTGGCGGCGCCCACAGCATCCACGGTTGAACACTCACAGTTCGGGGACAACAGTAGGCAGTTCCAGCTTGTGTGGGACTGTTCTTAAGTACTGGGCAGCTCAGCTGGGATACTGCACAATGTGCGGCAGTGCTCGCAGACGCGGGCTGTCTTTTGTTTTTCTCTCCCGCCTCTCCCTTTTCTGTAGGCTTGGATCGTTTCTGTGGCTTGGATGAAAGGAGAATTACTAAGTTCGGCCACATGGGCATTTCAGAGTACCTAGTGACACCGTTAATGGACGGGTTGATTTTCTTGTCTTTGGGAGCACGTGCTCCGTTCTTACATAGTCATGGTTGGAGTTTGGACCTGGTCACCTGGCGCCCCCGACGGGAGGTGTTCATTTGCGTGCGCGTGGGGTTTGAAAATCCCCACCTAGTTGTGGGCCGCACAGGCTGGTAAGCATAAAGGGTTCGACACAGTGCATGCCAACCCTAAGCACGGTGCAGATCGGCATGGGATGGGACACTTTGTGCGCAAACTTGGGGTCGACTGTTTCGACTTACCAACCGGATAAGCGCCCCATTGCATTCTTGGCAATGTGCTGCCCGCATTTGCCAGACGGTGCGCAACAGCTCTATCTGGCGGTTCTCGAGGCTCTCTTACATGAAGAACACCACAAATGGCAGTGCAGTACTTCAGTCTGATGTCTTCGTTACATGTCTGAGCACATTGTCAAGCTGAGCGCAACACGTTCACGGCGGACAAACTTTGAATTGTTGCACTCTTGAAAAATCATGCATTTCGTGGCATTAACTGCTCGTCTCGCTTCTTTTACAACTGGCACGCTCTAATGCACTTAACATTGCAAGCATTTCCCCCCTGGCAATGCTGGATCAATATTAAGCGGTCGGGCAGGCCAGCGGCAAGGAAGGGGAGGAGGCGGCTCCAAACGAGCTCCATGTTTTACAACAACGGCGAAAGCAGAGCAAGCGCAGTGGTGTGCTTGGAAAACATGCTGTGTTCGACAATTATTCTACAGAGCACAACCCCACTATCCCAATACGTCAGAACCTAGAAATCACCCCATTAGCGTGGGCCATTCCTACCATGCGTGAGGTAAGGGCGCTTGGTGGCTGATTTTGCATCCTTTCAGGTAGGTTGTGCCTTTGCTTAGGTTGAGTATCTTTCAAGGCCATTTTGTGCACATCGTGCTGCCCCACACAACCAGGGATTTAAAAGCAAAAAAATTTAGGGCATCCGTACGTTCATGCATCTTTATCGACACAAATTGTAGTCTACAATCTAGACACTTTATTGATTCTATGTTGATGGATAACGAGTGTAACATGTATGCCCTCCAGGATGGAATGCACCCACATAATCGTTGTTGTGGGTCCCGCGTTCATTCAGGGGCAGTTGCTTGGAAAAATTCGACGTGAAGCAATGGCTGGGTGTGAAAGTCAGATTTATGCAAGTTTACCTAATATACATGAGAAAGGCCTGCTTCTTGTTGTGTCCTCACTGGTTATCTGCACAGTGGGAGGCTTGATATTTCTATTACAGGTTATAAGCGCTTCCTCTTGAAGCCAGATTTTCTGGACACTTATTTTGAATGGAAGTATATACCACCGGGGCTCACCCTGGTGTCTGTGGCTAATAGGCTAAATCTGTGTCACCACAACCAGGGCTTCTGACTGTTCAGTGTCTTGGGCACCGCCAAGATAAAATGGTGTGGGCGCTAATCAATGGGCACTCACATTCGTGAGCCAAACAGAATTAGGACCGTGCTGGTGCCAGCAACAGCTGGCGGAACCGCCTGTGGATGATCCTCTTCTTTGTGGGGCAGCACTGACTCATTCTGATTGTTGCGTGCTGCAGACATGCACCAAACGCGGAACAATTCCAGTCGATGAAAGCAACACGATTTTTGGCAGTCATGCAGTGATGAAATAATGTCCAGTTGTTCATGCCTTGGAGATGGGGGGCTGCTTTGGGGGGTATCACGTGTCACATCTTGCTAGAAAAGCCCAGACTTTGGACTGCAGTGTTTTCATTCTGTTGGTAAATCTCAATTGCAAATGTTGATCAAAAACGTGACAAAATGTGCCCTTGTACTAGTTGGGGGACGTCAGGCACCTTGGCTTGCTGCCTCCTGGCTTCGATACTGGGTCCACCAGACGCAATAAAGCAACACTTGCATCTGTTGGCTCCATCTTGAAGAATTCCTAGCCAGTTTGCATGGAATGGTGGACAGCTGCAGTCAAGCTTGTTGTGTACTGAGAAAGTCCACCGGAACTGGAGTTGGTGCAATAAGCCGTGCAAACGTGTGCGCATGTGGTGCAAAGAGACAGGTAGATTGCCAGAAAAGGTTCCCTAGAAGCGTAAATAAGGACAAGACGATTTCTCCACAGCTATTGGTGCGTTGCAGGGCGTTTTCTGCCGTGAATTGGCTGCCACATTCGATCTCTTACTTGCGTTGCGTCGCCTGCCTCTCGTCTCCTGTGCCCGTCAACTTTTGGAACAGCCGTTCTCTACGGCACGCTGCACAAACCTTAGCACGGCAATTGCGCCGACGCACCGTCAAGTTCCCTGTCTGAAGGGTTCCCCGCGAGTTTGCTTCTCTCTTTACGGCAAACTTATTCGTTCGACGTCCCGTCCATCGCCTACCGCTGTGCATGCGCTGGCAAACGCTGGGGTGATACCCAACTGCTCACAACAGCCGACTTTCCTCCGATGCGAACAACCGCCTTGTCTTCTAGGAGCCTCCTCCCCGGCTCACCGCCATTGGGGGTCCGCCAAGGGGCCCAGCGTTTGGCCACCCCCCACCCGCCCCACCCGCCCCACCCGCAGGAGGATCTCCTTACAACGATGGGCGCCACATCGTATTCCCCAACGGATTGATGCGTGAATGTCATATGCTGACGCGTGCATAGCGAGACCGCTGTCAGCCCGACAACGCCTGCGCACGTTGGCACCCGACGCCCTACTTCCAACCCCCGCGGTGCGCCAATTGCGTCCAGTGGCGGGCGCCCTCCCGTTTGCCCCTTGCCCTTCCCCGCCGCCTTGGGGTGGCCGGCTTGGTGCTTGTCAGGCCGCGCTGCCTGCCTGCCGTGGTCCCTCGGGCTGAATCGGCTCGCCGCGAGCTGGAGTCGGTTGTGTCTGGGCAGTGCTGTTCAACAGATGGCGCGCTGCATGGAGGGGGAGACATCAGTGGAGCTGACCAAGCTGGAGGAGGGGGTGCAGAAGGAACAGCGCTCCAACTTCATCGAAATTGGCAAGCTCCTGACGGAGATATTGGACAACGAGTTCTACGTGTTGAAGGGCTACAAGAGCTTCGTGAAGTATATCGACGACGAGGCCGTTTTCCGGTTCACGGGCAAGCACGCGATACGCCTCGTGCGGACCTACAGATTCATACAGTCGCTGCCTGATGGCGTGAGCGTGCCAACGTCGGAGCGGCAGGTCGGTGGGCTGGGAGTGCCCCCCCTGATTGCTTGCCCGGCGCGTTTGTGTCCAGGGACTCTTGGCCGCCTGGTGTGATTTTCGGGATGGAGGGCGCCCAGTGGCACTGTGCCGCGCCGCGGCGGACTCAGCGAGGGCGGCCTTTGCGGCCGGTCTTTTGGGCGCGATCCTCGCCGCAAATTTTCCTTTTTGTCCTGCGCCAGTGGCGTGCTCATCGTGACCCCGTGGCGGCCTTCGGCGCTGCGCTGGACGCGGCTGCCGCGGGCCTCCATCGCTGTCGTCGGGAAAGCGGGCGCGTGTGATGTGTGGGCCAGGAGAGCCACTGCGCTGGGGGGCTTTCGGTGGCGCTTGTCGCGGCGCCCAACAGCCCGCCCGCCTGACGTTCTGAAATTGATGCAACGGGCGCTGTTCGTCGGCTGGCGGGGCGTCTGGATTCGCCAGGGACCGAGCTGTTCCCGCCTTAGCTCTTTTCAGGCCTGTGGGTGCGTCGCCGCGGTGATGTTGCCGCCCTTCGCGGCACCCTGTTGCGCGTCTGCCATCCCTTTCTTGAGTGGGCTTGGCCGCCGTGATGGGCGCCCTCGTCCCTTTGCCCCGCCTGGCTGAATTTTGCTCGGGGCCGGCTCGTCTTCACAGCGTGATGGGTAGCGTTTTTTTTGCTTTGCACAGGTCCGACCTCTCATCAAGCTGGGATTCGACGATGCACGTGACGTGTGGATGGAGGCCCAGCGCAGGACAAGAGAGGACGGCAAGCCTGTCACCGGGGAGCTCGTGGCTGAGTTGGTTGGGCAGTTGAACAGGCCAAGGGGATCCGAGGAAGCCACGAACCAGCGCAAGATGCGACCTCACACCAAGCCACGGCGTTGGTGTCAAGACTCTGATGCATCTTACACTGATGACGAAGATTTTGAGGGCGCCAGGGAAGAGCAGGCGGGTCGGCGTGATGCAGACGACATTCAACCTGCGGTTTTGCTGCTTGCTGAGTTTGAGAGACTGCGGGAGAGAGTGAAAGACCTTCCACAGCAGCAGCGGGAGAGGCTCCTGATGGAGGTGAGAATGCACGTATCTCTGGCAACCCATATTCGGGCAGCTGTCTGCACCATTTGTGCTGGCTGAAGCTTACGTCTCACTGTACTGCAGCTGCTGTTTTGAATTGATTGTTTGTGTTTGTGCTTTGTGCAGTGGCACCAATCGGTGAATGAGGACCTCAACAGCCTGGACAGCAGCTATGGCTCTGGATGCACTGTTGTCAAGAAGCGCAGACCGTCGGTGAGCCTATCTTCACCCTAAGAAGCAAATTGTGCACCACGAGCAGGGATTTGCTGCATGCAGAAGATTGCCCTTGGGGTGGTGGCATCGTGGTAGCCACTTGCTTGATCAGAAGGTGATGGGTTGTAATGTGCAGCTGCTGCAGGGTGAGCTCGATGCTCCAACGAGCCAGACAAGAGGCTGGAACTTGTCATCAAGAGGTCCTTCTTGCACCACATTTGCTGTGAGGAAGAAGAGGAGCAAGGCCTGCAGAGCCAAGCGCATCTGGAGAGTGCCATCGTACCTCAATGTGAATGTTGAGCGACCCTGCCTGTCTGATAGCACGGGCTCGTCAACACTGGCGTCGAATTCAGACTGTAACGACCGCCTGTTCGAGACTGGCAGCAGTGTCGTCAATATTCAGGGAACCTGTGATCTTACTTATCTGGCCTCATACTGTTGTGAAATGGAGGCTGAGCAGCAACGTCTGGCCCTCACCTTGGGAGCGCCATTTGTCCCCATTCAAGCAACTTGATTGTGTGTAGTAGGTGTCTGAGTGTGGCAGTGGTGTCGCAAAACAGGGCTTGCTGTTGTGGCAAATGGGAACTTCGCCAGGCTTGCATCAACGTGTGCTGAGATGCGGTTTGTGTGGAGGGTGTGGGAGAGAAATAGCGGTCTCAACAAGTAGGCCGCAGACCAGTGCTGGAGAGGCCTGCAAGTTTTGGAGGGGACGGGAATGGATGAATTTTGGGTGAACATTCTGGTAGTGGGATTCTATTTTCGGCTGCAAGGCAGAGCTGCCTGCACTGTTGGCTGGCATTTTGAGTGGTGCTTAGTTTCGATGGTCAGCCAGCGAGTCCCGGTGAACAATTTTGCTATTGTTGAGGGTCTACGACGAAGACTGGTGGTGCCATCAGAATTCATCTTTTGTGGCGGGTTGCACAGGGCAATGTGCGTCCAGCGAGCTGGTCAATATTGTGACTCTTGGAGTGAGGAGGAAGTGGATTTTGGCGTGCAGCCATGCACTCACTGTCCAGCAATTCTTAGTTTTGGGCACATTTGGGAATGGGCTACTGTGCTGTATACTTGTGTGTAGACTGCTGTATGGATATGGCACGTCTTGCTGGGTTCAAATTGGGCGCAATTGTACAGAGAGTTTGTGCGGAAGTGACCTGGCATCGTTGGCGATGCCACCGCACAGAAAGAGTTGCACGCAGCTTTTGTGAGGGATTCCTTTAGTGGTGCTTTGCAAGGTGGATTGAATACCATGCGACTGCGAGGTAGCAGAGTAAACTGAAGAGCCAGATCTCTCTTGCTGACGAGTCTGATGGGTTCGTCCATGGTATTGGGGTGGGGGTGTGTCGTACGTTGGGAGTCCAGTTTTGGAACTTTTCTTTTCGTTTTCGTTGTTGCTTGTCTCCGCACACGTTGATGGAAGGTGTGCACTGTGTAACAACTCCGGCATTCGTGCTGTGTGCGACTGCGCACAGGTGCACTGACGAACCTACATAGTTAAGCGGTTTCCTCACAGCTGTTGGCAACATGGGTACAGTGTTAGCATGCAATCGATGGCCGAGCTGTACAATCACTCTTGCAGCACCCTCGCTGCGACCTCATGTCGCAGCGACGTGCAGTGCGGCAACGCAGCTGGCTGTGCGTCGCTGGAGCTGTCGGTACGTGCTCAGATTAGTCGGCATGGCGGTGATTCCGGATTTTTCCTTCGGGACTTCAACCCTTCTTGACCGCAAGCACGCCACTGCATTTAAAATGGCCCCGTACCAATCTCAACTCCATGAAAATTGTTTCAGTGGGCAGGCAGGCGGCCCCAGTCATTATGCAGTTTGGCCGAGTCGGCCATTCAGTCGTCCAGGCATTTTCAACGGATGCCCCACAGCCGGTGACTACCAGTGGTCACTCTGAAGAGGTTGCATTGCCAACCCGTCGGAGCCAAATTGTCTAGAACGGACCTGTTTTGTGCATTTTTGCTACCACGTGTTTTGCCACAGAACTAGGGGGATGAGGCGGGTGGTGGCTGCCAACGGGCCCACCGTTGCCATCCCATTTTGTTTTCCGTCAATACACTCCATTAGACCAAGGGGCGCCGTGTATGGCGCTGGGCCACTCCGAGCGCTCAGTTGTGGGCTTTTTCTGAGCCATTCAACGACCCCTCAGCCACGTCGAAGCCCGGTGGGTCAATGGACCCCAACAAGAATTGTTTTGGTCGGCTGATGCCTCCCAAATTCTGCATCTTTCTTTCGAGCGTCTGCTCCCCACCCTGACCGAAGCTTTGCCCATCTGGCCACAACGATCCAGCCACGGTATCCAACGAGAGCTAGCAGGCAAACACTGCTTCAGGCTTGGAACCGTGGGCCTGAGCTACCGCAGAGCGGCAGCTTGCTGCAGGGGCCTCTGCCTGCACTCCGGCCAGATGCTGGGCAATGGGGGATCCGGGGGCGGCGGCCCCGGCGGCCGTGGGCCCAAGAAGAGGAAGTTCGTCCCAAAGCTGCGGCAGAGGCAGAAGAAGGTCGACGACGCGGCCGCGGCCAAGGCACCCCAGGCACCCCGAATGGCGTCTGAGACGTTTTCAGAACTGAGGCAGCAGGCGGAGGCGGAGGCCAAGTGGGAGAGGCCGGGTCGCCGCCCCCACTTCGGAACCGATCAGAGGAGGAACCAGTCGGTTGCTTTCGGGGCCCTGCTCAGCGGCTCTGCTCCTGCTGGGAAGGCCGGCATTCGCGGGCATCTCACCAAGCCCGTGGTCGTGGTGCCGGAGGGTGGGGTTGCGGAAAAGGAGGGCGACAAGGAGGAGCTGAACACTGGGCCTATTGGCCCCGTGGATGAGCTGCCCCAAAATTGCTATTATCCCACGACCCTGCCTCTGAGGCCAGAAGGGGAGGAAGGGGAGCGGGATGGCGAAGCCGGGAACGCGCTGCTGGAGTCTGCCCTGCCTTGCGCGTCGGGTTCATCCAGCCAGGACCTGCAGGACAGGAGAGCTGGGAGGGAGCTGGGACTGATGCGACCGGGCATGGACGAAGAGAGGCTGCTGCTGATGCAGCTGCCATCCGTGTTTCCTGCCCAAGCGACAGAGGTCAAAGTCGAAGGTGCTCTGGGAGGTGCAGGGAGACAGGGACGGGGACGGGGTGAGGGGGATCAGGGCGTGAAGGTGCCATCCATGTTGGCAACCAAGGTGGAAGAACTGCCTGCTGGCAGGATCGGGAAGCTCTTGGTGTTCCGCAGTGGCAGAGTGAAGATGGTGGTGGGCGATGTCCTCATGGATGTGACCTGTGGGACGCCGTGGTCATATCGTCAAGAAGTGGTGGCTGTGAATGTTGAGGATGAGGTCGGGCACTGTGTCTTCCTGGGTGACATTGCAAGCAGAGCCATCTGCAATCCAAACGTAGCCCAGCTTCTGAGTCCAGACCCCATGTCCAATTTCAAGGTTGGGAAGAAAGTCCAGTGGAAGGATGGTATAGTCTTGGGTGAGGAAGGCAATGAGGCCCAGGACGAAGACCATGGTGGCCAACAAGTGTTGGTGGCCAAGGGTGAAACCAAGGAGATGGACCTCGATCTGGGAAAGGAGTCTGGAGATGCCGCAGCGGACTGCACTGCAGCCCCTGGCAACACCAAGGACATCGGTGATGGCACAGATGTGGGTGTGGGTGTTGTTGATGTTGACGGGAAGATGGATGTGGATTGCATTGACAGCAAGGAGGATGTCGACGATGAGCTTGATGCAATGGTTAAGCAGTGCCGGTTTGAAACCAAGGTTTCAGGAAAGCAGGCATGAAACCTGCTGTGCCAGCACCATGGTTTGCATTGGAAATTGCACATAGTGGTGGCCCTCAGGCTGGAACCATGGTGAGGTCGGGTCCTCGGTGAGCACCCCAGCTCTGTTGTGCTATTTCTCTCAAATGAGTTGTTGCCTTTGCTGTATTGGTGCTGCCTATTGTTCAAGATGAGCCCAACAATACAAGTATTGTGTGGTGACTGATATGTGACTGCCTTCTGGCTGTTTCATCTGGTAAGAGTTGGACAATAAAGAGGAGTTTCACATCATGCGTTTGGTGGCAGTGATAATCGTGAGGTTTGGCTTGTTTGCCAGGTCAGCGCACGATTTCATCTTCCATGACTTTGGATGGCACAGCTTCTCTGGCTACAACGAAAATCAATCACATGCTGCCGAGCAGACGGTTGTGAACATGCGCATGCCACAGAGGTTGGGCCACCCGACTATGCAGTCTGGCTATTGGAACTGTTCCCATGTGTGGTTCGAAATGAGGCCGTGTACAACAGCAAACGCCGGAAGTCATCCAGGGAGCTTAACAGGCAAGTTGTATGCGACCAGCTTGCGTGGTGTTTGGCCTGTGCCCTGGTAAGCTTGTTGCCTTCGAGACTGGTTCAACAGTGTCGCAAGCAGCTCTTTTGTGTACTGGATAACCAAAGGTGGACACTGAAGCTTTGAAGCCATCCAGAAATCAGAAACATTGAGACAGCCTGGATATGGATTTGCAACCCAGACGGCGGCCAGGCGTCAGCCACGATCCTGGTGCAACCGAGATTCGATGTTTCCAAATCTGTATGACTGTAGCTTGTGCGCTCTTGACCTCTATATTTCTGATGCACAGTTTCATGGCGATGAGCACTGTTGGTGCATCGTGACATAGAGTCATAATGGAGACGTCTTGCCGCACTCTAATTGTGGGAGCGCTGGGACAGCACTTGCAGTGGCTGACTTCGGGGACGTGCTGACGCTTGTGTGTGAACCTCAGCTAAGCATTCAATGCAGCTAGCAATCAGGCCAGGAACCCGCCGTTATGTGGGCGTTCGTGGACACACAATATTGTTACCAGGACGGGTGGACATCGCTCCTGAAAAACACAGTTTGGATGGGCGAGACAAATATCCTCCTGCGGTACAGAATGGGCTTAACAGGTCGTAACCGATGTAATACAAACGTGAACACCTTGCAGAAGGGGGTTGTAATATCAGCCAATTATAGCACAAACGAGAATGGGGAGATTGGCAAGTCATCGGCCCCTTGCTCACGCTTAAGGTGGAGTGCCCAGAAGTACCACACACGACCATCCCAGAAGAAGGCCAAGGCATACTTGTGAAGAAACAATGTTCGATGACCATTTTGTGTGACTGCCAAATATAGCTGGTGGGTCACGGCCACGTGTGTACGAGTTAAAGGATGTGCCTCACCCAGATGCCCAGACAAAGGGATCCTAGTGGCACACTACAGCCCACAACCAATCTAGCTACAAAAGCACATATCAATTGAAAATGACAGGACTGCTGGCTGGGCCAGCAATCACGCCCGTCACAGGCTGTGACGAGATGGGCTCAACTCTTCTTTCCTACCTGATCTGACTCCGCCTTGGGCGCTCAGAATTCCAAAAGAAGCTTGATTGGCCCTTTACTCGGGCTACCTCACGATCACTCAATCGGCCAACGGCAGCGAATCCCCGCGCATTAATGAGCACAAGGTAACCCAAACTATTCTACACGCTTTTTGAATAAGCCTTGCTGCTTTCGCTGCCAAGATTGGACTGTAGGCGAATAGGTTGACGTAAGTTAGTGTCAGCAGGGCACCGCCAACTGCCTTCCAAAGTTGAACTAGTCGATTGGTATTCACGAACACACCTATCCAATCCTGGTATTGTTTTCAGAACTACGGACACTGCCCGGCGATATCAACACATCATTAGCACATACTTGACATCCAGTTTCCTGCTGATTCTGTGTGCACTTTGCACAACCCAATTATCAACAACTTTCGCAGACAGCTCTTTTCAGCCCTTTTGCAGCTGGCGAATCTGATTCCAAGTCGGTGACTGCCTCTAAGCTTCCTGTGTGCTTCTCCGCAGGTCAGCCTTCACAGCAGCTGGGGGACACTCTGGTGACACAACTTTTGTGACAGGAGTTTGGGCCTTAATTTCCTTGCTTAGTTCTTTGGGATCTTTCTCAGCTTGGCTCATGCTACAGATAACATTGTTTTTTCAGACCTCCATTATATATGCACTGGGGAACAAGGGAATGTAATTATAAATTGTAGTCGATCTTTCTGATGTTGAGTCAGCTGTGTGCCCAACACTGGTCACTGTAGTGACTTTTCAGCGGTTTTCACTATCACTGGCAAAGTTTGCAACAAATTTGACAAATTTTTGGGAGTCGAAAACCAACAACACACAATTTCAAAAGGACAGGCAGTCCTTCCACAAGCTTCACAACGGGATTTTGAGGTTGTACAGACTCGCCAATTGCGGGAAAGCTGGAAAGATCTGTCCAAGGAAGTTGTTGAAAACTGAGGATTGTAAGCATACCGAAGCAACAGAAAATTGGACATCAAAGTATATGCAGATGACATTCTAGTGTTGTTGGATACCATGAGGAAAACTGCCGACACCTGGAAGTGGATGGACGTTCTTCTAAACGTTGAACGGTGGTTTAGGCCCGGGAGAACTGTCATCTGTGGTTTCCTTGTTGCAACCTTCCTAAGCTTATTTCTTCTGAAGCCGAGCCGCATGGCAGAAGCATAGGGCCTATCAAGAACTGTTCAAGTTGCTCGTCTGTTTTGTGTACTTGTTGCACGGTCAATCCCTCCAGCTGGCCAGTTTGGGAAGGGAAATTGCCCGGATAAAGGGCCAGCTGAGTTTCCTGTGGAATTCGGAAAGTAATGGGCGTAGTCAACAGAGAGGAGAGCAGTGTGTCGCCACAGCCTCATCCATCTTGACACCTGAAGTAATTGCAGGACCTGTTTGTGGTCCTAGTCATTTCCATCTAGTGTGTACTTTTCTTGCTGAAGTTCTGTCAGGATCCCTGTGTTTTGGGATGTGGGTGGGGCGCGTTCTGTAGACTATTCATGAAGTCAGACCGTGGCTCATCAGCCCGACTGGGCAGCCACACTAAGGTCCTTTTACACAGGATAGTTAACTTCATTTACACACTGGGAAGTCAGCGGTTGTGATATAGGAAGAAATCTGGAGGAAAAACGTGGTAATGCTTGGTGCCGCCGTTCAACAAGGACAGTTGTGTTCAAACTTGGAACTGGGCCAGCAAATAGTAAGCCCGAGTTCTGCACGGGAACTGCCTTGCAAGGCCGTGTGTGAGCGCCATTGGGCCTGCATTGGGGGGGTGTGGTGTCCGCGCTCCCTGTAGCACTCTGGGGTAGCGACTTGAGCCATCACTCCACCGCGGAACCTTAACAATTCTCCAGTTATCGAAATGATGCGACAGTCTATTGGCCAGTGTAGGGTTCAAAGGAATGGTGTAACGTCGCGTCACGCAGGTTCCTCCAAGCACCGAGCTGACGTTAAGCATGCCAAACTCGTCGTAGTGTGCCCCTTACATGTGGCCTGCCGTCATGGTGCCACAAAATAAAGCCTCACCATGTCGCCAAACTCGCAGCAGGAAAATTCAGTTATTGACATGTTCAGATTCACATGTTTGGATAGTGTACCCAAAGCAGTGGTCACTATCCATCAATTACAGCATCTCATGGTTGAGTTTCACCCCCACACATTTTGCACCATCTTGCTCCCCACAACCAAAACCACTATGGATCTTTATCTCATCCCCTTCTTTGGGTGCTTCAACAACACTCCTGCCTCACCCGTTCCCATGCTCCATCGCACATCAAACTGACGCCAACAGAAAATTTCCTCCAAGGCCAAAGTCAATGGCAAAACCTAACAGCATCGAATCAACCGACACTGCTTTATTCAGCAGACATCCAACCTCAAACCTTGCTCTCTGCACAATCGCCCTCCCATCTCAGAAGCAAGCTTCAGACGGCACCCACAGCCTGACAAACACCTGGTGATAAACATCTGTCGTCGACCTTCTGAGACAGGGTCTAGAATCCGAGCTTGTCGCCCCCATTCAAGTGCCTGCTCATGCATGCACCAAAGGGATGGCTCCAGCTTCCTGCATCCAGTTCCTCTCCTCTGTGGGATCCACGCAACAGCCCATCTCCCAACGCTTCAGGGGACACCAACCAAGTGCACGCGGCTGTGCCCATGTGCAATCCAAACGCGCACACACGCCCCAAGAAAAGAAAAAAGGCATTGCATCTGAGCACGTTCTTTATGAGTTTAGTGGGGGGACGACAATGCCTCTCTGCACCCCCTCTTTATGACGTGCCACCAGCACTGCACAGACAAAAAAAATACCTACCAAGCCACGACATACGCTATGGAGGAAGACTTCCTGCAGCAGCACCGAGTCGAATGGGAACAGGTCACAAAATGAGCCAAAGAATTCCTTGTGCGCCAGATGTTCCCAACGCCCTTTCTTAACTTGGGTTCCGCAGCAGATGCTTACACCAGAAATCCGGTGCCATACTGCTAGGAATCATAAATACAGCAGCCACCCACAAAGACACGAATCCAGGTTCAGAGAATCTTGGCCAGGCTAGCTGACCATTATGTACTCGAGTTTCAAGTCTTCATTTCCCAGTCGCATTCACATAATCCCCAGCCACTCGAAAATTGGATTCAAGCATCTGCCTCCCCTTTATAACCTCCTCCCTTGTCAACAGGACGGACAGTGAAGAGGTAGACCAAGAACCAACCACTCCTTGTTGGCGACTGCCATAAGTATGTAACCTGAGCTGGCATCCAAGACTCGTGCATCACCAACAGACTGCACACGCTCTCACAATGCAGCATGGGTCACCAGATTCAAACGGAATTGAATCAAAACTTCTCAGCATCTCCAGAACTTGGACATCCAAGACAGTTCATCACAGTACCAGCTACTCCTAAATCTATAATAACCAAACTGCGGCTGCAGCACCCACCTTGCGCAAATCATATCCACATGCCTCCTGCCCACCAAGCGCAAACCCAAGATGCTGACGTTCTTGAATAAACTGCTGGGTGCAGAAAGCACCCCTCTCAAAACATCTAAAACTTTCATGCCCTAAGAGTTCCGTTGACAGAGTTCATAGAGTTTCCCAAGATCTCCAACACACTTCCATCGAAGACATCCTTGCACCACCAAATGCTGCAGAGCCACTACCACACCAGGCAACCTTGCCACCCCAACCGAGCTTGCGCCGTCCTCATGCTTCACCAACCTGTGCCCCACAGTACCACCTCCAAGTATCCTTTAACCGTCCTTGCTGAGGGCCTTCGACTTGGATGCTATTTCATCCAGTTCTTTCCTGGCCTCTGGAAGCCCAGACAGCAAAGTGATCATGTTCAGTGTAGATGACTTGCGCGCATCATGAATACGCTTCAGTTGCTGCTCGTCTTTCTCCTCCTGGCAACACAGTAACAACTGACAATCAAAATTGGTTGTTCCACTGCGCAGAGCACACGCTTCTCACCACGAATTCCATGGCAACCAGCATAGTGCAAAAAGCACATTAGCAGCCTCTATAAGTCCCCATCTGCCAAATGAACAAGCTGTCAGCAGCTCTTGTCCTGATTCACTGCAAACTCTTCTGACGCCTTCACACACTCTGATTCTTACCTCTGCCTGCTTCTTCAGTACAGGCTCATACTTGTCAAACACCTTCTGCACCAGAGGCTTCCAGATCCGGACACGAGCATTGATGAACCAATTGTTGATTTGTGCCATGTCCAGGTTGGTGGCACGGCACAGTGCCAGCTTTTCTTCGTTGCCTGGGTAGGGAAGGAGCATGTGAGACAGCAGCCATTGCTTCAACAGCGCAGTTGACTCCTTTGGCAGGTTCTCCCTCTTGCGTTGGACCCGCCTCTTCGGTGTGGTGTGATCCTGACTGTCTTCTAGGCCATAGCCATCGCTGAAACTGGGGAGGCCAGTGCTGTCCAGCCCAGAAAACACCTACGGAAGCAGATGGATGCAATGATCATCAGCAACTATGGCAGAGGAACTCCATGAAATCAGCAGCAAGCTGCACAAGGCTATACGGCAATCAGTATACCTATCCCCAAATTCACTGCAAGAAGGAAAGCACTCACCTGCTGCTGCTGCATGCTCCTCCCAATGGGTGCCAGCCTTCCTGGGATGGCTCTCACAAGGTTGTCACTTCCAAGGATTCCAGACCTGACGGCCTCCAATGCACTGGACCTGGTGCTCATAGCCTGAGACTGGTGGACTGCAGCTTGGGCGGCAGCAACTGCCTGGGTATTGCTCCCAGGCATCTGAGCAATCCCAAACTGGACATGTTGGCCCGTCATCTCCCCAACTGACCCTACAAATTCAACTCGTGTCAAGCCTTGGCACCCATCCAATCTCACTCACTTGGCATTTCAACAGGCAAGATGCTGCAACAGATAGATGATGCCAGGTGACAAAGAAACACATGCACGCTGCAATGCATATTAACGTCGAATGCTTGCATGCCCTCCCTCAATCGAACGCACTGACTTCTTGACATCTCGCAATTGCACGAGATATCCCTTGAGGAAGAGCAGCAGGGGGTCAGTGGGCAGGTAATCAGGGCCTGAGAGGAAAGGACAAGCGGGGGGGAAGAGCATAATTGCCTCCTCACCAGCAGATGGGAACTTGATGGGTCCCAGAGACCCACTCCTCGTTCTGGGAGAAAGACTATGTAGCTGCTGCCCATACAGCGCATTGTAAGCAACACTGGCTGGGGTAAGCACTTGCTTGTTGTCCAGAAGCATGCTGTGAGAAGCATTGGGTGGCACCAATGCAGCAGAAAATTGAAGGCTGCTGGCTGGGAGATATCCCCCTGCTGTAGACTGGTCAACAGAACCCATGCTAGCGCCCGCTGCGTCCAGGGGATGCATTCTCTTCGCCTGGAACATGACCCCAGAAGCGGCCCCTTGGTACTGCCTCACCAACATACCCTTTGCAGCCTGAAACAATGCAGCCACACTCCTGTTAGCTGGCACATACCAGCAGGACAACGTCTCAGCCCTCACTGTTGTCTGCAATGAGACAAGCAAAGCTCTGACAAACTCACACGGAACGACAACAAACTGTCTCAGTCTTCGCTGGGACTGTGCAGCAAAGGCTATCAAGTCATGGGAAGGGTGGCTCACCATTTGCTCCACTGTTTCGATGGGGATCTCAGGGCCCCTCTTCCTCTCAGGCTTTTGCAGAGGTGTCTGGGGAAGCAGCATCTCCACGTCAGCCAAGCTTGAACTTTTGTCTGAGTCAACACTCGCGGCGTGGGGGGACACAACACCACCACTGTGTGTTACCTGAGCAAGCAGCGCAGTCCTAGCATGTCAGGACTCAGCAGTCATTGCAACCACAGCCAGGGTTGTTTGTCTTGCAACCACAACGTCCATGTGTCCTAAGCTCACCTCAAACATTCAACTATCTTGCAATGCCATTCATTGCCATTCCTGAGCAACCCAACAAAATGCAACATTCTACCAGACAAATATCAGTCATGGATTCAAGGTACAAGGGGGGCACAGTGCACTATGACGCGGCACAACGAATCTCAGGGAATAGTGGCAGACCAGGACACATAACTACACAAGACTCTCCCCACAGACAAAGCTTACCACCTCCCACAGACAATGACTCACACTGGTTGTGAACAGCCTCAGCATCCACCGGCAAATGACTGGTGAACAAGTACCAGGTACCTGGCACTCTAGGGCAGGGCTGCACAAAGCTCAGACTGAAAGTACTTGTCTCCAAAATCCAGCACAGCACCTTGCACCACATCAGACCAGTTGCTGCAAGCTTGCCGCAAACGAACTACAATGCCTCTATAAGTAAGACCTGCGCTCACACCAAACGCAGCCCCCTATGTTTCTGCTCTGCTGCAAATCGGGCTAGTAGGCGCAGCAGTGTTTTAGCGCTTCCAGGCCATTACCTATGAGCCCAACAGAGTACCTCAGTCACTACTCTAATTCCAAAGAAGTGCCAACTACACTGATGCCTGAAGTTGCCTACTTGGGTCTACTTGGGTCTAGTTGTCTCCACTGTACCTGGAGGTTCGCAGATGTGACAGTGTTCAGGCGCCCATTGTTCAACAGCATAACACCACAGCCGCTGGTTGCTGGAGCCTTCATCACAACCCCGCCGCTTGAGGGTATTGTCGACAACTGAGCCCCACCCTGGTCTCCTGTGGTCTCGTATGTGAAGGGTGTCTCCATAGCTCCATCGCTTTTCCATGCATGGTACAGATGATCGAGGCTGCGCAAGCACAGATACGAGGTGCATCACCTGCTGTGACAAGATCTTCACAAAAACTTGCATCATCCTGACATCGAGGTCAAATGCAAGACCGGGGTTTGAACCACAACCCCAGGATCAAGGAGGGGCTGCATACCAGAGCACTGCACAACGATCCTGCACGGGGAAAAGACCTGCCCGGCGCGCGTTGTGGCGTCAATCTTTCAGCCCGAACAGTGACAGTACCTGTCTCCCGCGGGTTCAACCACGGCCCCGCCTCCGACTTGCATGGCTCCCCAACTTCCAGGCATCTGACCACCACTGCACTCAGCGCGCACAACTTGTCCAAAAGCGTGTCCGGGCCTCGGCGGCTCGATCTGCAGGACGGAACCAGCCTAAGGTCAAGAAGCCTCCTGCACACACCAAGAGCTCGAGGCCCGAACCCCTGCCAGCGGCGAAATGCAGGCAGCGGAGCCGTGCACGTGGGCTGGATGAGCAACGCGCCAAGCGCCGTCCGAGAAATTAACCCCAAAGCGCCCCTGACGCCTCACCACAAGCGACGTGGCCTTCTGGTTGTCTTTCCCCGACAGCGACCGCAGCTCCTGTGACTCTGCCAGCCCCGTTTCGTCGTTAACCATCTAGAGGCCCGAAGCGCCACCCCTCGGCCCAGCTGCACCCTCCGGAAGGCGGCCTGCGCCCACAGCGTCGGCAGTCAGCCCCCAGTCCCACACGGCCGCGCGACGCGAGCCCCACAATCAAAACATCCGATGGCTGCACGGCCCCAAGAGCACGCCAGCATTCCCGCATACTGGAAAGCGGGGTGGGAGAAATTGGCGGCCCCCGTTCTGGACCCTAAACCCCCCTCCCACTCCGGCCGCGCGGAGACTCGCGACGCAGTTCGCGGCTGCACCTCCCCGGCGGTCGCAGATTTCGACGGGCAGCGCGGCTACAAGCACATCGACGACGACGCCTGGGCCCGCAGTGATGACCGCAACTGGATGCGCGAAACCGGGGAAACGTCGAAAAACGTAGGCCCTCCCAACCACAAGAAGATGAGGCAGGGCCCCCCGCCCGGGGATCAAATGCCCCCTTGGGCGGCACACGTAATCCGAGGGCGGGAGTTTGATTGCCGAGTCACGGGCCATCACGACGATCCGAGGCGGACGCGCTCAACATCGGTGAAGCGCTTCGACGGGGACGGAACGTGCGCCACTGGGTCACAACCACTGGCGCCACAGCGCCACTGGCGCCACAACCATGGAATTGGGCCGCTGGGTCAATCTAGAGTGGACCCAGCTGAAGGGACAAGTGCACTGATGTGCTGCCCCCAAACCAGCGATTGTGGACAACGATCGTTGGCGTGCACCCCAAGAAACACTGCCGCGACGGTGGCTCACGTGGGGGGGCCGCGACAGCGAAGGGAGCGCCACAGGCGCGTCGGGCCGTGGGAGCACCAGCATGGCCCTTCCCGCCCTTGACAGGCACATTCCGTGGTTCCCGTACCCGCAGCTCGGCACACCGCAAGGCGCTGTGGGAGCGAGTGATCGCAATGCCCGCCCCGAGAGCTTTTGGCCCCAGTGGCTTCGCAAGTCATTCACGGCCGGCGAGGTACAGAACCCCAGTCAGAATTTGCAAAACCCGCAATCCCTTGGCGGTATTGGGCCCATATCCTGCACGGCAGGCTGTCCGCGGCATCGCTCTGCTAATGCCTCGAAATGATCCAAGGGCACGTTGCATTCCGTCGCCATCAATCCCATTCACAGCTTCTTCAAAGAGTTTCTTTATAGAATTCGGATGCAACATTCTCCCGGCAAAGGGGGAGGGGGGGTCTCGCAACTCGGTTTCTGTGGGTCAATCTGCGTCTGAGGCCAAGTGGAAAAACAGGGAAACTGTCGAGACGGACCCTGTGCAAGTCGCGGTTGCGGGGACTCAGGCGTCGGAGGGGCGGGACAGGGCGTCCCCACCCGCCCCTGCGCTGCGCCAGCCGCACGCCGCAACCACCTCCGCGTCGCCCGCAGCCCACAAACCCAACCATCAGCACACGGCCCCAAGTACGACCATCAGCGGCACAGTCACGGGGCGGAGTTCAAGCAGCGCCGCTCCAACGGTTCTGACATCAACCCCCCGCACCCGCCCAATAAAATCTGCCCTTCCACGCAGGGCATCTTCCCAAAAGAATCCGCGCAGAGACAGGCGGCCCCAACAACGCGCGTCGGGAGTGAGCCCGTCCGTTCCCCGGGCCGCCGATTCAGGTGCGAGCCGTGGTCGCCGGACGGCGCCACATCGGCACAAGGCCGATTCCAGCACGCCACACGGGAAGACGGGTGTCTACCGGCAAGACGCCGGCAAACCGCGACACGGCGCGCAACGTGAGGGGGCGGGACGTGTGTACCGCCCCTCGAATATCTGATGCGGCCGCGGTGGTGCCCCGAGGCCACATCTTGGCGACTCGACACCCCCACGCCCAGCCATCTGGGCCCTCCCCACCGGGGAAAGATCGTCAACCGCGGGCGAGGCGCACTCACCGCCGCTGTGTTCCTCAGCGGGCCTCAGCCGCCGGTCCCCACTCGCACCACGGCACCCAAAGGGGACGACACTCTCCGCCAGAAACCTCCACGGGTTTGATGGCACCTTGCAGGGCTCGGCTGTCCTGTCCTGCACCGATTGGGCGCGCCCTCCTGTGAGGGCCCCGGCTTCCTAATCCGCCGGATCGCGCGCGACACGCAAGCAACGCGGGTCCAACGAGGGCCCATCAAACTCAACAGCCGGATCAAGACTGCGGATCACCAGCATCGATGCCCCTGGCGATACCGACGGCATCCAGCCTCGTCGGATGCCCGACAATCCACGCCCCGGGGGCCAACCAACACACGTCCAGGCCAATTCGATGGGGCTGCCCGTCATGGCGGACTACGCTGGCAGCCGGCGCTGGATGCCCAGTGTGACATCGCAGGCTTTCTTTCGCTTTCTTGCGCGGGCACCACCAACACCGGAACTGCACACAGTGCGGGTTGGCGCTGGTGAGGCAACGGGTGGCAAGAATCCAATGTGCGCTTCTCGGGACTTCGCAGGGGTGTGGTGGACTTTCGGTGTCGCTTTGCTCCTTACAGCGTGGGTGTATGCCATTTACGGGATCCTCTTCCAGCCCGACACGCACGCAAGCCAGGCAATAAAAGTAATCCCCTCAAGTTTCCATTTCACGATGCGAATGACCGTCTCACACACAATGCCTTTGGCTTCGATGCACAAACGAAAGTACTAAACCGCAGTGCTTCGGTCTTCTCGTGAACCTCGAAGCCAGCAATGATACAATGCTTTGACGAATTCCTAGTTCATTCTGTCCTTTCTTCATGTTGTCGTTATATTCACACTCAGGTGTTAACATATCTATGTTGTACAAGAAAAAACACTTGGACTGCCACGTCACCCCATTCAACAATATCACAGAAAGCGCTTCCTTAACTTTTCCTGACGTGTGTCAAGCTGTCTTCAAACAATATTCTCGCCTTCCGCGCCAAGTAAGGCCACTGTACTGCCCACAAGGGCAATCAGACTCTGAACTTGTGATCTGAGGAATGGACATTTGGCAGTTGTCGTTGTCTTGCTGACAAGGCTATATACAAGGTCCTACTCAAGCCTACCCACTCATTTGTGAGCAGTGCATTCATTGGGGCGCATGGACAATTGAGCTTCTCCAACACATAGAGCTCCTGGAACAAGAGCATACAGCCATGATGTGTGGCACAATCGAGTACACATCATAAGGTTCGAACGTGAGTACATTGTGAGGACATCGAGCTCCACACTTGGCCAGATAGCCACAGCCACCCACAAGAAAACGAACCATTGTCTGTCTCCCAATCCAAGCTCTCCAATCGTTTGTATTCAGCACAACTCGATTCTTTATTAGCCTCTCATATGCAGCATGCACTCTGGAGATCTCTGGATCTGGCATATGTAACACTTCCAGGGATCCCCACCACCATGCTCTTCGCCTCCAGGCTGAAAACGAAGGAAATGTGCAGTCGCAGACCTTCACCGCCTCAGGGTTGTCATCTTGAAGCCACCCATCCTGAAACCCCTGCTTCCTCCCCTTCGTGCATTCCTTGCATAGCTACCACATTGCTTATTTTTTGCGCAAAGATCAGTGGTGGACACTCTCCTTGCCTGTTGAATTGGTGCAGAAGCAGCCCTTCCAATGGTCCTCCCAGCAGGCCGTACAGGTTTCCTGATGCCACCGGGTGCATGCTCCAGCAAGTCACAATAGTGAGATGGCTGCATGGCCTGCCCCTGCACCAGCCTTCCATTGCTCAGGCTTTGGCGGGATGCACGCACCCTCAACAACTGCCTCCCCTTGGATTGGGTGCGGACAGCAGGTTGGACCCACCCTCGTGGCCTGATGCTTCCCACACCAGCGGCAGGTGAGAGTCTTTTAGAGTTGTAGTGCTGTGGCCGCTGCTGTGAAGGCCCGTGCTGCCGAGGCTGGCGCTCGATTGCCCCCCTGATGGATACCTGACTTCTGATCCACGGTTTCAGTCGTGTAGCTGGAGGCTGCCATGGCAGAGAAGACCTGTCAAGCCTGTTTTGAACCGGTGACCGGCTGCAGAGCTTGCGTTACATTGCCTTCTGTGGCGGCGAGCTTCAGGGGTATTTACCTGTGCAATACTTGTGCCCCCGTTCTGACCCCGTAGTGGCTGTGTGAACCTCGGTCGGCGCGACCGAACGACACCGTTGGGTTGGAGCTGTTGTGGTCTGTTCCGGATCTGCAGTCTCCCCGGAACCTGAAGCGCGGGCCCAGCAGTTCAAGACTTTGCTCACTCTCGATGAGCACTTCTCAGGCACTGCGCTTCAGGGAACAGGGAAGCAGGGAACGATAGTGGATGTACATGCAATCGACGCACTTTCATTTATGCCGAACCCCTTCCGCCACTGGCCGCGCGACAACCATTCATTCGTTGGGCTGCTGGGTCGCTCCAAACCAACCTGCGACCCGCCTATTTGACGCAGTGAGGAGGTGGCAGCAAGGGTCAAAGTCCCGAGGAGAACAACCATGACACCAAAAGCAGCCAACCCTGCGGGCGGAGCGTGACTGGTCCGCCATCCCTGTGTCCTGGGTTCTGAACCCACAGCAATCAATCGCACAAGCAACCTGCACACAATACTGCTCCGCGCCACTACCAACGCGTAACGAGAATACCGCAACCCCCTCAACCAAACTACCTTCCTCTCCGTATAGGCGAGTCCAGACGCACCTGTCGGCGCACCTTCCTGTTGCCCCGCACTTGTTTCTTCTGAACTTCTTTCTTCGACCTCACGCCCACTTTTACCCTCCCTCCCCGAAAGGCCCTCGCCTTATTGGCTAGTTTGATGATGTCGTCCAGGCTCATATCCAGCCTGTCGACGGTGTTCGGCACGGCCTGCTTGCGACCGCCACCGGTCGCCATGTTCATTCTTCTCGGGCACAAGGTCTTCGCAGGGGGAGCTTGGGGCCGGAGTCCAGCCGCTGGACACGGAGGTCGGGTCCAGATAATGGCTGCCGCAGTGCCTTTGACCTCAAGGAACTGGTTTTCTTGGCTTCTGACGGCTGGATAGTCGCTTCAGTGTGCCTCATGAGGCACAGTGATCATGAAGGTGCCGCATATTGTCAGCCATCCTGGCCTGATGATGGTTTGGTTGGGACCACACCACTTCTATTTCTGTACGCTTACGATCAATTTGATGCTACGCTCAGCCCCCTCCCCCCCCTTGCGCCCACCCTTTTCCCTTGGACGTCCTTTTGTTTGTGCCTGCCTTACTCTACCCAGCACTCCCGCTAAATCCCCGTATATGGTGGAGGAACACAGGTATTCATGCCCCCCGCCCCGCCCCCCGCACCCACCCATCCCCCCCCCCCCACACACACACACACACCACATTTGTTGGTTCTTGCGGACCTTGAGTTGGTTCTTACATATTATATGGCAGATAGCCAGAAGGCCACGACCTTTTGCGAGGTGTACAGATAATGGCTACAACATGCCAAAGGTATCAAGCCGCATTACATGTGTGTTGTGCGAGAGAAATGTATCCACAAAAGGGATCATTCGCCTCTAGCCCTCAATCTATCATCCTACAAGCTCCTCAACAAATTCATCTCTGATGCCCACAGCTGTCACACTCCGCCGATATCATTCGACGCAACATTTCCATCGAGCTCTCGTTGCCAACCGCTCACCACAACATGCTCGTTGGCAACTATCCCAACCAGAAGGGTCACCCCCGTGGTCACAACCGAGCACACTCCAGCTGTGATTGTCAGAAGCACAAGAATTCCGGAATGATGGGGTTGAAGAGGCGATCGAGAATGAACCCCGACTGATGATTCAAAGCAATCGCCATCACTTGTATTATTCCATTTTATTCCCTTCGGAAATGAACAACAGGCGTTGGCGCTGCCATCCATGCAAGAGCAAACAGCAGGCACAGCAAACGCCAGCTGCTATTGAGCTCCCGATATTCCAATACACATTAAGCAACATCACCGCAATGATACAGGAGGCCAACCAAGATGGAGGTCCTCCAGCTCAGAAAACCGATACCTACAAGTAACACTCTGCCACCGCATTGCTGATCAGTTCCGAGTTTCAGAAGTTCAACAAGATATTCCCTCATACTGTAGTCATGTTGACACACTCCACCGATTGGGCCAGTTAGCCCAAAGGACTTCTCCATGCTTCCAACCAGCGGCATTCCTTTCTCTGCTTTTCGTCCACCAAATCTCTCATTCCAGCCACACATGCCACGCCGTGGGAGCCAGCGGCTACCACGTTCCCTAACTTGGGCCATGCTGTCCACCTCAACCGTCGACTTTCCTAAATCACTGCCTGCCAAACCTCCTTCTTGACAAGGTGCAGCAGTCTCAGACTCCTTGCAGCCAGCCAACGAAGGTGTGTGTGCCACCTGAGGTGGCTCGAAAATCTACTCCATTCTTTTGCTTTCCTGGCAATAGTGGCTCACCTGAGAAGATGTCAGATCGTTCTAAATGAATGTCCAAGCCACTGAAGTAATGCAAAGTTGACGGCCAGCCAAAGGGGCAGCCCATCATATACACTACAGCCATCGCCCAGCTGACGCCAACGAAGAAAGAAAATACTGTTTATCTGAATGATGAAGAATAGCTGCTAAAGGCACGCCCTTTTTATGAGTTTCATCATTCCAGCGTTCGTTGTCTCAATTGTTCTTTATCTGCGTTTGTCCTTGTCCGCACTCCGATGCTGCTCTTCTCCATGGCAAGTCTGAGAATCCTTGTGATTTATGGTACAACTCTAAATGTGAAATGAGTCTTCTGATGCATCGATCAAAGAGCAGCCATTCAGTGAGCTGCCCGCACTGGCCTGCCCGGCATGTTGCCTTGGCTGTTGCTGATCCAGCCAATGCCACAGCCCTTCATTGTTGGCGCCAAGTGCAGGCACAAGGACAGGGGCAACCCACTCTACCCAGTGCTGATGCACATTTCCAGCACCATGCCCTGAGCCCATCCACTCCAAGTTATCATCAGTAAACGAACTACGCGATCATCCTCACATCCTGACTCCCAAGCTCGTTGTAGAACTCGTTGAGGCAACTTCTCACTATTCACATCCAGCCCCAATCACTGAATTCACCTGTATCGCACCAACAGCCAATCACAACAGAATCATCGACACTCGTCGATAAAATGGTCACAAGTGGCCTTCAGCCAGCAGAGCCACAACAACAAAGTAGAATCCATGACATCAAAGGGAGCATATACAAGTGAATGTGGTGAGTCAATCATCAGACACAGACAGACACAACACTTGAGTGCTGTAGGTGCCCTTGTAGCCCACAATTGCACTGACAATCCTTGAACCACAGGCTGGACATCGCTTCAACAGTGCTTGTGGCACAACACAACAAGGACAAGACCAAAATCAGTGACTGCTCATGCCTTTTTGCTATGTACAACAGTGTCAACAATTCCGCACCAAGTCGCACCTGTGGTTGTGGAGCTGGCATCCCCATCACTGAACACTGGGGACTGAGCGCCAGCAATGGTGCTTCGAGAAGCCAGGAGGCTGTGGCTAAACGACCTGGGCGAGCTCACATGGCTGTCGTCATCCACCCCAGTGCCTGTGCTCTTTGAGCTGCTCTTGTCGCCCACAGCATCGTACAGCGCATGAGCAACATGTTGCACCCCATTGCTCGTTGTCCCACCAGTCAATTTTCGATGGATCCGCCTCAGCAGGTGCTGAACCTCACTGTGCAGCCTTGGCTCAACAACTGCTGCAGGATTGTAGCTGTTCAGGCACCTGCCTTGTGGCTGCAGCAGTGGATGGCCAGTGGAGATGACCTGCATGAAGCGCTTCAGAGAGTCCACCACATCTGCCAACACAGCAAAATTACACAGGTAAAAAGGGGTCACTTGTGCCTCCAAATGGTCAACAATGGAGTCAGAACAACAGCAGGCACGCAAAACTGCTAGAACAAGCCATACAGGCAATGCTGGTGAACAACCTCATTGCACTCCTCACCTCTGCTGAATCGTGCACAATTGCATGCTGTTGGCAGCGTGCTGCATATCAGCTGCAGCGTTTCAGCAGCTTCATTGGAAAGCACCTGGTAGTCTGCCAGGTGGCGCCGCACAGTGACAATCAAGAAGTTAAGGTCTGAAAGCACATCTTTATGCGCCAAGTACCCTTCGACTGCACACTTGAGAATGCCTGTTATGGCCACCAGCATCGCCTGCTCGGACTTCGTCTTGGGATCCGCAGCCTTGCCAAGGGGTGCCACATCTGGCAGAATCTCGGGCTGTTTGATGCCATCGCTGTCGAAAGTGTCCAGTGACTCCGGCAGGTTGTGAAAGGCTATTTCAGAGTTGTGGTTGAGGCCCATCAGCCCACAGCCAGTGGCGCTGAAGCTCGCTGCAGACCGCTCAACGTTGGCTGCCAAAGTATACGGAGGGGATGCTGACAGCAGCTCGGGGCAGCTGTCTGCCCTGTAGGGTGGAAGGCCGCTCAGAATCCCAGACCCCGCACCAAATTCTGGGCTGGTACTGGCACCAGAGGCCTTGCCGTCGTATGAGTCAACTCGTCTATTTTGCGACAGCAATGCCCGCAGGTACTCGGCGTAGGCCCGCTGAGGAGAAGGCGAACAAGCCCCCAGCCCGCCCCAAGGCCCGCCCTGAATGGGTGACTGCCCTCCAAGCGTGTTCACGCCGCCGAGGCCGACGTCCCCCTCACTGCCGAAGCAGGCACTGCCAGGGACAAATGCCGGTGCAGTGTAGGCGTGGGCCAGTCTGCCGACGCCGCTGGCAGGGCTCAGGAGGCGCAAGGCGCCGCGGTTGTTGGCCGCGGGGGGCGACCCTTGCGGCTGCCGGAAGCGCGGTTCCTGGAACCCCCGCTGAATCTGCAGCCGGAGGTTTCGGTCCACCTCCTCCTCCGCCCCACCCGGGACCCTGCTGCGGCGAGGCACCGGAGAAGCCCTGAAACCCTGAAACTTCTGGGGCGGAGCCGCCCCTCGCCACAGCGCGTTCTGCAGGCCCCATTTCTGGTCGTTCTGGCCGGGCAATGGCCCTGCCTGTTGGCGCTTGGAGCCCAGATCAAGGCCCGCTAGGGCCAGGTCCACGGCGCGCACCGCCGCATCCAGGTCAATCTTTGTCTCCTGTTCGCACACGACAGTCGACACACGTCAGAATCAAAATCACTGGACCACGGCGTGCGGGCACGCGCACCCCACCGAGTCGAACGAACTACGATACACGCCAGCGACAGTCCGGCGCTCCCGACAAAAGATGGGCTGCAGTGGCCAACACGGACAATTCCGCGGTTCTGCCACCTCCGCCCTGTGCCCCGTTCCTCCGCCACACAGGACTCCAGAAGCCAACTCACGCCCCTTCACCAATCAGGACGCCAACACAAGCAGCCGATTCCCAGGGCCCTCTTCCTCCCCGGCGTGAACCCCAACCCAACCCCAGCGGCCTCGCGCCCTGTCCCGGTACCTCACCTTCTCCACCAGGCCGCCGTCGGCTTCTCCGCAGGTTTCCGCGGCCACCGCTTGTCCCACCGATTGATCCGACACCCCATTGAAGCCCGCCAGGACAGGTCCGAAGCCGTTGCCGACCAACGCATTGATATCTAGTGGGGAGGGCAGCACCTCCGCGCACGCCCGGGCCTCACCCATGTCGACCGCCGCGCCTATCAACGCACAAAACCACAAGCGTTCAGTGCACGGCGCCAGCATGTGTATCCAGCTCATCACTTCGTAGGCCTGTGGGCTGCGACCGCATTTTTGCAATCGCCGGCGGTGGTACCCGTATTTCAGCGGTCGTCACTCGGCGGCCGGCCTCTCACGACATATCGCGGACGACCACGCACGAGTTCGGGACGGCCCCATCATTGGACAACGGCAATACTGCACCTGGGCGCTTCCCTCCAGCCTAAGCGCCGCTGGGAATTAGCAAGGTTCGCCCATGACACTCCTCTTCCAACTCCAAAAAGAGGTATACACCCAATCATTGACTGCGCCACGGCGCGGTTCGAAGACGCGCCCAAGCGCGTCGAGTCAACGCCGGTGGCAGCGCTCCACTCACGTGGCCCGCCTGTTTCCATGCCACGCCCCACCAAAACCGCCCCGCCCCCCCGTCCCCTCCCCTTAACCCCACAGCCGTTTGAATCCGCACCTCACCCGTCAAATTGCGGCTGGGCAGCAATGTGCTCGCGAGAGCCCCACGAGCCCCGCAACGCGCCGCCTGCCTCGCCGGCCTCCCTGCTGCCGGTTTCCGCGGGCGGCCGGAAAGTCGCCGACCCTGGGGGCCTCTTGCGACAGCCCTGCACCGGCCCCCCGGGCTGCGGCCGACGCACTACTCAAAAAAGCGAAAACAAGAGAATCGTGCCCCGGGGGAGGATGCGAGCAGTTTCAAGGCGCGCCGTGCGCGCCCAGAGGTACGGGGACCCCCCCCATCACCACGCCTTGCCACTCCTGATCCTGTCACCGTGGTGGCCAGGCAAGGATGACGTCGGACTGAGGCTCGGCCGAACGCGTGCATGTCGGACAAATTGTGGGACCGGAAGCGGGTGCTCTGTTTCTCTGAGTCCCGTGATGGCGCACGAATCAGCCGAGAGTCCGAATATTCAGTTGATGGGCATCCAGTTGCGACCAGCACAGGAACGTGGTTCGGCGCAGTCCCCGAACCCAAGTCTGTTCCGTGAATCTGCGTCGCCCTGCGGCAAGGCCTGCACTGCATCTTACTCTGCGCCATTGCGCGTCCTGGACCCCATGCCATGCTGCTCCATTGCCCGGGGGCCGCAAGGGTCCTCGCGGCGGGAGGCTTTTCAAAAGCGCCAGGTTTTTGCCTTCAAAGCCAGGCGGGACAATTCGTAATTGCCCGACAACGCCACTGTGTCTTTTGAAATGTCCCAACGCAGTTGTACACGACGAGCAGGGCACATGTGACAACGCCACAAAAGCACACAAAAGCTGGCGAAGACTCAATACATTACACATCGAGTGCACCGCACATGTTGTGTTGTTCTTACCCCCCGTTGTGCATCATCTACCGCATTGTGGCGCGGAGTCTCACCCTCTGGTGCTCATGAGTGCGCTCAGTGCATGACACGTTTCCTCTGACGAACCCTAATCTTCTGACTCATCTCGTACTCCTTTGCCCTTGCAACTGGAGCCTGGAACCGTTGCAATGCAGGACTGGTATGCAATAGGACACACCGAAGGAAAGAAGGACACAAGACCCAAAAACAGGGCGCCGTGTTTAACTTGAAAAAGACACAAAACAAACGACGGTGTTTTGGAAAAGTCACCATGTCCGACAACTATGGCATGGTTGAGAAGCAGGAGAGACAAGATATTTGGTTGACGCCCTTTTTTGGAACTGCCAACGTGCCGAGACATCAGGCGCGTCAAGTCCGTTTGGTCCCGTTGGAAGCCGCCAAGATGTGCAAGGAAGCACAAACACTGGGGATTTTTTGATGAGGATGCAATAGTAGCAGGGCAAGAGACCACAATGTGTTCGAGTGCCATGATGTTGCGACCAGCTGATCAAGTACCGTCAGGAGAGTGTCTACACTTGGGAACAGCAATATGGCTCAACGATCTGCCATATGCGCTCGACAAGAGTCACCAATGACACAGCGACTATCACCGTCCTGCCAATCGCCAACGATTGCTGAACATTCCGCTCCTGTACATTCAACAACCTAGCTCATAGGAGCTCACAGGACGGTGACGATCATCGCAAAACGCAAATTCAGGCCCAACAGGACTCTTGGGGTATTGTCGAGCGCTGCCGAAGCGAGGCGCAACCCCAGCACTGAATTTCGTGTGTAACTTCACCCTTTCCGTTCACATACAGCGAAAAGCATGTAATGACTGAGCGGTTCGAAACAAGACACAAGAACCACGCTCGGACTGCGAAACAACACTCCACACCTCGCTCAGTAGCTCAGTATGACGAGCGTACTGATCATTCGTCAGATGTCACCAACCGATGTTGTCAATGCTCGTTCCTTGCGGTCCGCCGCTGCGCTCCACTCACTCGCCAGGCAGCGGACGGTGGAAGCGAGCCGTTGAATCGACGAAAACAGCACCCAACGTGAGCGCACGCGGGTCAGTCAGTCAACGAGACGGGAATCGAGCTCGGCGTCGAGCTGTGGGTATGCGCAACGGTGCACAACCCGGAATACACACGACCCGGAGGGTCAAGAGGCAAGGGTACACAGAAACGAACGTGTTCTTTACAAAGACGCTCCCCTTAGACTGCGTCCAACCCCCACAGGTTCACAGCACGACTGTTCTCATCAGAACACCAGTCGTTCAGACCACCAGAAACACGAACGGACAGATGGGGGCGGAGAGAGGGTAGTGGGGAGAGGCACTCACACCCCAAACAACCCCACCTAAATACCCCCGCCGGTTCCAAAAGCACTACACTAGAGTGACCCTCGGATATTCCAACAGACGCTTTGAGAAAAAGGCCTCAGTACCCCTTGCACAAACAGTCCACCTTCTCAGAACTTCCCACCGACCTTCACACAGAATTTCCCACCATTATACCATAGCTAGTATTGCCTTTCTAGTTTGTACTTTTCTTGGCCGTCAACTGCCCCTATCTGTTACGAATAGGATGTGGGTGTGGGGTTCCTGCCCTCTTTGAGCCGCGGACCCGCCTCGCCGGGCACCTAGGTCCTTACAGGGCACCTAGGCGGGACCACCCCTCCTACTCCCGTATCCCAATATGGATAAAGGTTACATTGGGTGAGGAATAGTACGTGCCTTGGGCAGGGCGTCCCCCACACCAAGGGCCATTAGTAGGACGTCTCCCACATCAGGCTGGTGCGCGTAACATTCGTCCCCCTCAGGGAGAGGGGCGTCCTCGTCCCAAGATAAGTGAATACGGGAGCAGAAACATTGTATGTTTGTTGGTGGAACTGGCTGTGCGATTTGCCACATGCCCAGTTAACAAAACACAACACACAAAACAATTTTGGATGAAGAGAAAGAGTGGTTGTTTTACATGACCGTTCCGGCCTTTACAACCCTCATTAAAACTCTTCCTCAGCCAAGTGGCTGGAAATGTTTGACCTCCCGGCCTTTCATCGGCGACCACGATGCCGAGTACCACCAGAAGCCCACGCCGGTACAGATCGGCCCGGTGCGGCACCCCGCCGTCGCCCACGTCCGCGTGCACGCTCAGGCGCACGGGGAAATGGCACGTAGGGGTCGGCGGTCTCCAACCTCTCCCCGCTGAGGATCGCAACGGACATGGCGTTCATGTGTCCAAACTGCGACCTTGCACGGGGGGCAGTATACCCAGTGTTTTTCTGGGCCCATCGCAAGAGAACCTGTCAAAAGCATAAGCACACATGAGCATGTTTCAGTATGTACATCCCGTACTTCATGCAGTTTGCATTCGCATCACAGGTGTTCGGCCATTTTCAAATGCTTGAACCAATTCCTGTGCATTTGCAACTGACTTTGCTGATTCCCAGCTGTTATGCTCATGTCCATATCCCAGCCATTTGACAAGGTACTCAACATAGTTTTTGCGTCTCCCACGCTTTTTAATCCTTTTATCAAGGATACGTTCAACTTCATACTCAAGTTCACCTTCGATCTCGATAGGTACTGGGGGTGGCTGTACTCTGCCACTTGCCTTATAAGGCTTGATTTTCGACACATGAAATACTGGGTGTATCCTATGCATGCTTTCCGGGAGTTCTAGTCGATATGCGACAGAACCTATCCGGTCGAGGATGGTGAAGGGCCCAATCCACCTCAGTAATAGTTTTCGAGTTCCAGGGTGTTTGAGAGTAATATGCTGTGTCGAAAGGAGGACGCCATCTCCTTTACTAAACGACACCTCTCTCCGATGGCGGTCAGCATGCTTTGACTGCCTATCTTGTGCTTTCTCTAAGCACGCCCTGGCCTCTTTCAGCGCTGATTGGACACGGTGATCAAATCGTGTCACTGCTGGTAATCCCTCCACGAGGGGTGTACCAGACTGCCTCAAATAAGGCTGCTGCGCCCTTTCAATGGCCACTGCCAAGCCGCTGGCATTCGGATTGTCATAGCCCTTTAATGGCTTCCGAATTTGCACACCAAGAGCTAAGGGACTCTTTGGGTGCCTCCCGTAATTCAGATAGAACGGGGTTTCTTGGGTGGAACTGTTTTTCGAGTTGTTCATTGCAAACTCGGCCATGGCTAACAGTTCATCCCACGCGTCATGGTC